GTGTGTTACTGAATCAGGGATGTTATTATTTGACATGATTAGTTATATTTCATATTCAATTTCATGATATACTTTAATTTCAAATTGTTTTAAAAAAAAAAGAAAGAAAAAGAAATTAATTCCAAAAAATAGCACCATAAAAATCTTTCAGAAACCTTCAAACAAATAATCAGTCCATAGAAGATACCGCCAATCTCGCCTCCCAAAAGAAAGAATCATAAAATAATTAATTGCCTAGAGCCTCTGTCATGAGGTGGACATCCAAGGTGCTGGGAGGCCAAACAATGAGCTCGGAGCTGTGGAGTTGCCAAATGTATTTTATTTTTCAAACACCACAATGTGACGCGGATCTTGCTCGCCAAAACCAACTTGACGGCTCCATTGATACTTTGTTTGTTTGTCTCGTGATATCACCATCATTTTGAGCCTCAAACAGCAAGCCATAAAAGTGGAGACAGAGCCCAGAGCGTGTTCCTTGCATGTGGGTCCATACCGTGTTTGGAAAACACGTGACCTTGCCGGACAAAATTGTGGGCCGTTTGCGTCAAAGTGCGTCGTCTAGGCAGAGCTGTGCCTGACGTGGAAGCTACCTGGCGCGTTGCTCTGCCTTTTGCCTTCTCTCGGCTTCTCTCCCTGACGATGCCCACCTAAGCCCTCATTTCCCACCAAAACACGCGCAACCTCGCATCCCGCCATCGACCATCGACCATCGACAGACTCCTCCGACTGTCGTTGCTGGCTTCAATTGTGCGGTTGAGATCCTTTCCGACGTGTTTTCTCTTGCATCTGCAGCATTTTCTCGCCATAATTCGCCACATCACATCTTCGATTCTTTGCATCGTCACATCATACATCGCCGTCACAACAAACCACAACAAAGACAGCCACCTCTACCGCCATGCCTGGCCTCATCACTGCCACGGGCGTGCTCGGCTTCCTGGCCGATGAGGAGCCCGAGCTCAAGGTCTTCGCCCTCAACACGCTCAACGATGACATCGACACCGTCTGGACGGAAGTCGCTGGCGCCGTCAGCCAAATGTAGGCCTTTGTCCCTTTCTGTTGCTCTTTCCCCCAGCGCCTACTAACGAACCCAGCGAGGCCCTCTACGAAGACGAAGACTTCCCCGAACGCCAGCTCGCCGCCCTCGTCCTCGCCAAGGTCTACTACCACCTGCAGGCTTACAGCGAGAGCATGACCTTTGCCCTTGCCGCCGGCGACCTCTTCAAGCTCGACAGCCCCGGTGAGTTCGAGCAGACCATCATCTCCAAGTGCATCGACCAGTACATTGCCGGCTGCATCGCCGACCACCGCCCCGCCCTGCAGGCCAAGACCGACCTCCCCTCCCTCGAGACAGCCCTCGGCGGCCTCGACAGCTCCACCCTCCTCTCGCCCACCACGCCCTTTTCCCAGTCGACCCTGCCCTCCAAGTCCCTGCTGTCGCGCGACTCCGTCGACAACACTATCTTCGACCCGTCCTTTGAGCCCGCTGTGGCCAAGGACGGCGCCCCGCGCTCCGGCTCCATCATTGCCCTGCCCGACCAGGCCACCAAGACGGCCCTCGAGCACGTCATTGAGCATCTCTTTGCCAACTGCCTCAAGGACGGCCGCTACCGCCAGGTTGTCGGCATAGCTGTCGAGGCCAAGAACCTCGAGGTGCTGCGCCGCGTCATCAAGCGCGCGAGCGACGACGCCAAGGCGGCGGCCGGTGGCAAGGGCAAGGCTGCGGCGCCGGCCGAGCCAGCGCCGGCCGACGAGCTCATGGAGTACGTGCTGGGCATCTGCATGGACATTGTGCAGGAGCGCAGCTTCCGCACCGAGATCCTGCGCCTCATCCTGGACCTGCTGAGCGACATCCCCAACCCGAAATACTTTGCCATTGCCAAGTGCGTTGTCTACCTCAACTCCGACGAGGAGGCCACGCACCTGCTGCGCCAGCTCGTGGAGGTCGATAACCGCGAGTCGCTGGCCATCGCCTACCAGATCGCCTTCGACCTCTACGACAACGGCACCCAGGAGTTCCTGGGCAAGGTCATCAAGGCCCTGCCGGCACCGCCCCCGTCCAAGGCGGAGGACGCCGAGTCGAAGACCGAGGAGGCCAAGAAGGACAAGGACGGCGAGCGTGACGAGGAGGGCGAGGACGCGACCGAGTCGGATGCGCTGCTGAAGGACGACGACAAGAGCACGGCCACCGCGCCCGTGTCCGAGACGACCGTCGACGAGGAGCAGGTCAAGGCCTACGCCAACATTCGCGAGATCCTGGTCGGCACCAAGACCACCAAGCTCAACGTGGAGTTCCTGTACCGCAACAACCACGCCGACATCAGCATCCTGAACCGTGTGCGCGACTCCCTCGACGGCCGCAACTCCATCTTCCACACCGCCGTCACCTTTTGCAACGCCTTCATGAACGCCGGCACCACCCACGACAAGTTCTTCCGCGACAACCTCGAGTGGCTCGGCAAGGCCGTCAACTGGTCCAAGTTCACGGCCACCGCCGCCCTCGGTGTCATCCACCGCGGCAACATCACCCAGGCCCGCAAGCTGCTCGAGCCCTACATGCCGCGCATCGGCCAGCTGACCCAGGGCAGCCCCTTCAGCCAGGGTGGTGCGCTGTACGCCTACGGTCTGATCCACGCCAACCACGGCGCCGACGCCCTGGACTACCTCAAGAACGTCTTTGCGGGTGCCGAGGACGAGTACATCCAGCACGGTGGCGCGCTCGGCCTGGGCATTGCCGGCATGGCCACGGGCGACGAGGCGATTTTTGAGAGCCTCAAGAACGTCCTGCAGACCGACTCGGCCCTCAACGGCGAGGCCGTCGGTCTGGCCATGGGTCTGATCATGCTGGGCACGGGCAACGCCGCCGCCCTGCAGGCCATGTTTGCGTACGCCCACGACACCTCGCACGAGAAGATCATCCGCGGGTGCGCCCTCGGTATGGCGCTCATTATGTTCGGCCGCCAGGAGGGCGCGGACAGCATGGTTGACGCGCTGCTCAACGACCCGGACCCGACGCTGCGCTACGGCGGCATCCTGACCGAGGCCCTGGCCTACTGCGGCACCGGCAGCAACAAGGCCATCCGCAAGCTGCTGCACACCGCCGTCAGCGACACGAGCGACGACGTGCGGCGCATTGCCGTCATGAGCGTCGGCTTCATCCTGTTCCGCAAGCCCGGCAGCGTGCCCCGCATGGTCGAGCTGCTGTCCGAGTCGTACAACCCGCACGTGCGCTACGGCTCCGCCATGGCCCTCGGCATCTCGTGCGCCGGCACCGGCCTCGACGAGGCCATTGATCTGCTGGAGCCCATGATGAAGGACCCCACGGACTTTGTGCGCCAGGGCGCGCTGATTGCACTGGCCATGATTCTGGTGCAGCAGAACGAGGCCATGAACCCCAAGGTCGCCGCCATTCGCAAGACCCTGAAGAAGGTGGTAGGCGATCGCCACGAGGACGCCATGACTAAGTTTGGTGCGTCGCTGGCGCTCGGCATCATCGACGCGGGCGGCCGCAACTGCACCATTGGCCTGCAGACGCAGACGGGCAACCTCAACATGGCCGGCATTGTCGGCATGGCCGTGTTCACCCAGTACTGGTACTGGTTCCCCTTTACGCACTTTTTGTCGCTCAGTTTTAGCCCCACGTCCATTATCGGCCTGGACCACGAGCTCGAGATCCCCAGCTTCTCGTTCCACTCGGCGACGCGGCCTAGCCTCTTCGACTACCCGCCCGAGCAGGAGGTCAAGGCCGAGGAGGGCCCCGCCATGATCGCCACGGCCATTCTGTCGACGACCGCACAGGCCAAGCGCCGCGCCCAGCGCAAGGAGCGCGCCGCGCGCCGCGAGAGCATGGACATTGACACGCAGCCGCCCGCGCCACCGAGCGCCAAGGTGGCCGCCGCCATCTCGAACATGGCTGCTGCCAAGGCGGCCGAAGCGGCGGCCAAGGCGGCGGCGGCGGCCGAAAACGAGTCGGCCGTTGCCGACGACAAGATGGACGTCGACGAGGACAAGCCCAAAGAGGACAAGGAAGACAAGGAGGAAAAGAAGGATGAGGACAAGGACGACAAGGACGACAAGGACGAAAAGGACGACAAGGATGACAAGGACGAGAAGAAGGACGAAAAGGAGACCAAGAAAAAGGCCGAAAAGGAAAAGGTCGGCTACGACATCCTCAACATGTCCCGCGTGCTGCCCGGCCAGCTCAAGTACATTAGCTTCCCGGCCGGCCGCTACCGTCCTGTCAAGAAGCCGACGGGCGGTCCGCTGCTGCTGATTGACACCGACCCCAGCGCGGCCAAGGACCTGATTGAAGAGAAGCTCAAGAAGGTCACCATTGAGAAGGCCCCCGTGGCCGGTGCCGGCGGTTCGGGTGCGAACGGTGCCGGCGGCGCGGGCGGCCGCCAAGGCATGATGCGCGACCTCACGCAGGCCCTGGGCGGCGGCCCTGGCGATCTCCGCGCGATTACGGATCTGCTTGGTGCCGCAGGCGCAGGCCGGGCCGGCCGTGGCGGCGCGGCGGGTGCCTCTGGTGCCGGTGGCCCCAACGGTGGTGGCAGTGACGCCCAGGCCGCGCGTAACGCCGCACGACTTTTTGGTGGCATGTTCGGCGCCGAGCGCGGCTTGGGCCTCGACGACATGGACGATCTCGACGAGGCGACGCACGCCGCGATCCGCGAGAGCGGCGCTGCCGCCGCGGCGGGCGTGCTGACGGCGGTGGATGAGGACGGCGAGGGCGACGAGGAGGCCGCCGTGCCGGACGACTTTGAGTACTTTACCGAGACGGAGGAGGATGACGAGTAGGCAAATGCCCTACGAGGAGTGGCCCGGGCCAAAGGCCGAGCTTCTTGGGCTTGTACTTTTTCATTTCTTTCCTTTGTCTGTATATTAATCACCATACAATAAACACAAATACACAATGCAGAGCTACAAGCTTGATAGAATCGAATTGTATAAATTATTAAATTATTAAAGGTGTCCATTGGTTTGCTGACTTGCGTCGTCTACTTCTTGCACTCCTTGTCAAAACCGCAGCCGTGCAGGACAGCATCCTTACGTCCATTTCGTTCAATGGCCACCCGGTGCCACGCCGTCGCCAGGTTGCCGCGCACATTGTAAATCCCGTCGTGCCGCTCCGGCTGCGTATTGTACGCGTTGTCGGTGGCCTTGACGACAACCTCGGCGGGCGACGCGTCGCCGCCTAGCAGCAGCCCGTCGTACCGCCACCGCTTCCAGGCAAAGTCGCGCCGGCCGCGGGCGACAATGTTGCCCTTTTGGCGGTCGGTCTCGTCGTCGTAGTGGGCCTGCTTCTGGTCCAGCAGCGTTGCCTGGTCCCACGTGCGGCCGCCGTCGACGCTGACGTCCACGCGCACAATCTCGCGGCCGCCGCCTGAGTAGGCGTAGCCGGTGGCTGTGACGGGCGTCGCGTCCTTGTCCTTGGGGCTGGCGTGCTGCTGCTTCCACTCTGCCTGCCACGCCGCCAGGTCGCGCACGCCAGGTGCGGCACGGCTGCCTAGCCCGGGTGATAGTGTGGGTGTCTCCCTCTGCGGGAGACTGCCGTCTTTGATCGCCTTGTTGATCGCGCTCTGGCCGACCCATACGCCCGTGATGGCGCTCGTCACGGGCATCTCTTGGATTGCCGGGTACCGATCCCAGTCGGGCGCAGCGCCCTCGTTGGGGCCGAACAGCTTGTAGTCCCGGCGCTGCCACTGACTCGGCGACTCCTCGTCCGACACGACAATCTTGGACAGCCATTTGACAGACCGGGCGGCCACGAAACCAGGGACAATGGCGCGCAGCGGGTACCCGTGGTCGCGCGGCAAGGGCTCGCCGTTCATGGCATAGGCCAACAAGACCTCGCCGCGCGGGTCGAGCGCCGTCGGGAGCGGGATGCTGGCGGCATAGGCTTCCATGCCGGTAAGCTGGACGTGCAAGCCGTCGGGTGGTACGTCGTCGTCGTCGTTGTCGTTGTTGTTTTTATGCTCTTCCTTTGGCCGACCATCGATTCGAGCTGCGCGAAGACCGGCATCAGCCAAAACATCCCGCAGAAGCACACCCTCCCACACGGCGTTGCTGATGGCGCCGGTGCCCCACTGCAGACCATTTGTCTTGCCCACTGCCCGCGTCATGTCGCTCCGTCGGTTGCCCGAGCACTGCAGCACGGCCGTCACCTTGTGCGGCTGAAACCGCGTGCGAAGTTCGTCTAGCGTGTACGCGCGCACGTCGCCGTCCGGCAGCTCGACTGTCAGTTTGTGCTGGTCGGCCTCGGCGCCCTCGACGACTGGGACCCACATGTGGTTGCGTACATAGAACAGCTCGTTGGGCGTGGCAAAGTCGCGAGCAAGCTGGGGAGGCGCGGGCTCGGCATTGCATGGTTTTTGGGTCAAGACCACGAGCCGTTTATCACGCGTCGGATCGTCGGCAAACGGGTCCTCGACGGCCTCGCCGGCGGCAATCTTGGGCTGGCCGCTGGTGTCTAGGTCGAGCATATCGACGAAACCGATGAGGTAGCTGTCCAAGATTTCCCGGACATGGGGCGCCTTGTGGATGGTAAAGATGGCCCAGTACGGATCGATGGAGTGGCCGGCGGCTCGTAGGATGACATCGCCGCCCGGGTGCGCTGCAACCCAGTCGGTAATGTCATAGACCTTGTCGCCAGACGTGACCCAGGGGCTACCCGAGTTGGCGTCATGTTTGCGGACGTCGGCGAGGCGGAAACGCGGCAGCGAAGGATCCCGCTGATCACCGCTGGTAGAGGGCGGCGGTGGAGGCGGCGCATCGCTCGTATTGATATCCTTTGAGCCATCATGGGTGTGTCCGCTGTCGTGCTCGTCGTGGTGGCCGATGTGGACGAGGGACAACGGTTGGGAGAGGGCAAGAAGGACAGACACAAGGCTCACGCCAGCGTAGAGGGTGAACTTGCCCTGGTCGTTGCGTCTGGGGCCATCATGAGAGCTGCTGTTTGATTTATCGCGTCCTTGGTGGTGATTTCTGTCGTGATTTGTTTGGCCGGTTGGCTTGTTGTTGTGGGTGTCCGTTGCGTATCTCCGACCGCTGTGTATTAGTGGCGGGAGTGGAGTGAATGTGGTACATAGGGCTGGCAGCTCTCCAAGCGGCTGTAGCCTCCGGGGTGCATCGCGGAAAGATTGCTGTGATTTTTGTATTGTCGGCGAGACTGAGAAAGAGGCAAATGGTTGCTGTCGCGCAGCAGTAGCTTGCGCAATTGTAGTTCTGCTACTGAGTGGCTGCGACGATGAGATATGCAAGCGTCTTGCTATTCGCACTGCGCTTGTTGTTGTGTTTGCTGCCATCGCTCTGTGTTGTGTTCGCTTGGCGAGTTCATCAGTCCAGAAATTGGGTTGAAAGGGGTAAAATTATTAGATTGGCGAGAGAATGGAAGAGTAAATAGGCAAATAGGTAAGAAGCAGGGAGTCGTGACGAGTGGCCAAGGCAGGAAGGCGCGTTGTCAGATCAAAGTGGCTTTGAGGAAGGTGCAAGGGATGACTTTGGACAGCAAAGATGCCGGCAGGGCAGGCGACAGCCGTTGCTTAATGGAATGGAAGGTGCGAAGGGCAGTGCCGTTGGTAAGGGTCCGGCTAGAAAAACTATTTTGAACACATAAACCAGTTCCGACGACCGCGGATGTCTTATCGGACAGACGGCGTTCGTGTTGGTGCTTGTGCCACCATTGAATTGTTGTCTTGTTGTTCGCTGACAGAATACAGCGCGTACGGACGGCGTATTATTGGCGACGCGGCGTTGCTTGAGACTCACCCATGCAGCTTCGGTCTGGTGCTTTAACCTGCATCCTGTCCCTGGCTCGTCATATGCAAGAAGGAAGAACCTGGTTTGACAGAGTTGATAATGGACGAGACGAAATAAATGTGGTCATACAAGGTGCAGTATTCTGTACGGCGTAATTACTTGAGATGAGCGACAGAGTGGATCTTACATGGCGCTGAGGTCACGCGAAGCATGTGCACGGTCAGACGGTGACGCGAGGCATGATAAGGAAGGAGCTGTCGAGGTACTCGATCAAATAGAAAAAGAGGCAAGGACGTCCGGTATTGCATTTGATGTTCACCTGTCGCCTTCCCGATAGGGTGTTTTGAACGTAATTTTTACTTAATTGGCAGGAGAGTCTCGGTGTCTTGCCAACAGTCGCACTTTCCAACGGGGACGGTAGACCGACGCTGGCCGATGGGTCTCATGACGTCGGCGTGTCGCGGTGTCGTAGTGTCTTTAGCGTGGCGCGGAATAGGTTGTGGAAAAACTAGGCCTGGAATGAGTGGAAATTGGCGCGGCGTCTGGGCGGCTGCGAATACGAGACGGCCACCGGCTGACCAGCAAGGCTGTCGGCCAGAAAAGCTTTATTCCAGGTCAACGGTTCAGTTACGATACAGTCTTGTCACTCTTTATGGCCCGCAGCTCTTGCTAACAGACGATGTGCTCATAAAATATTATTTGTCTGCACTACAGCCACTGTATCAACGCATCAATCACTAACATTACAGGGCTCTCACTTGTATTGATCGCTAACGTCGGACAGGCCAGACGTGAAATGGACAAAATAAACTTCAAATACGGGAAATAAATACGAAGGTTCGTTCTAAAAACCGGGTCATCAAGGTACGAATTAGCATGAAATAGTTGTGCAAGAAACCCGAACAACCAGAGAAACTTGCTCAAGACCCGCCCTGTATCCGCGCCTACCACGGCTGTCGGCTGCACCCGAGCGCCGCTGTGCGCTGCACTACACCGCGCTACACCACGTTACACCCGCGTCCGCGGCCGCCACTACGGCTTTTCAAGCCTCCAAAGCCGGCGTTGTGTTCCGCGACCGCCCTCGTCTCAGGGTGCTAGCGGCCGAGCCGGCCGTTTTCACGGCTTCTGCGGCCTTCCCCTTTCCCTTTGCCTTTGCCTTTGCCTTCAGTGATGCTTTGGCAATGGCCACAGCTACAGGCGCTGCACTCTTGTCCTGTCGCAGCCGCACTGCCTTGGCCGCCCGTCCACGCGCTTCGCGAATGACACGCAGCCGTTTTCCTGTCGGGTCGGTCGGGTCGCGGTCGTACTCGGGCACGACCGACTGTCGGAGCTGGTCATCGTCGTCATCGTCCTCGTCCCCAGCGGCACTTTCCTTCTTCCCAGGATGGTAGGAGGGGTCGCCGGCCTTTTTCTTCGGCGTGGACTTCTTTCTTCGGCCAACCTCCTCCTCCTCTTCCTCACCCTCCTCTCCCTCCTCGGCATCATCCTCCTCTTCCCCCTTTGGTGGCTTGTAGGATGGATCGGCGACTTTGGGTGCTGTCGCCCGCTTGCGCTTCTTGCCTGCAGACGCACCCGAGAACACACTATCGTCGTTCGCATCGACTTTGCTAGGGGTACGGCTGCGGCTGCGGAGCGGTCTGTTTCTGTCCGTGGGCACCTCTGCTTCTGCGCCCAACTGGGACACACCCGGCTCCTTTTTCAGGATGCTGTGCTTTTCCACCATGTGCCGCAGCTTGTCCTCGATGGTGTCGTGGGACGCAAACTTGTGTAAACAGGATGAACAGATGTTTAAGGACGCCAAGTCCGGTTCTGGGTCAGTGCCATCCGCGGTTGTTGGAATGGAGGATATGCTTGCGAACAGAGACCTGCGTGGTGGTCCGTAGCTGTACGGCATCGATTCCAGGTTTTTGTATGAATCCTGGTAGCCCCAGATCCCTTTTTGGTATATGTCCGCTTCATACCAGTCGGCCTCCTTTTCACGCGTCACCCAGACCTCCGGCCCGACAATTTGGTTGCACACAGCCTGCCACTCGTTCTGCGTCGTCTTGGCAGACAGCAAGAATTCGGGCCGGTTGCTGCCGTCGCGCTGGCGAATCCAAATGTGATTAAGATCACGTTTGCTCTCGACACTAGTGCAAAACCGCTTGTCTTGGTACTCCTTGTACTCCTCGTAGTCTGGATTGTTGGCGTCGTCATGGATGGCACCCAGGATGGCCTTAACACCGTTAAAGAACGTCTCATACGGGCCATCAATTTCAAAGGCAAAGGAGGCGGTCTTGTCGCCTGGTTTCTCCACGTGAGCCGTGTATGTCGAGTAGTTGGGCTGGATTGACACAATGGATGGTGGCTCACGGTACCCGGTTGTGGTAAGCTCCAGCGACGAGCCCGAGGTTGGCAGTGCCGGTACTGTCACGAACCATGCTGTGGGCCCCCAAATTGCGCCCACAGGCCAAACGTTCACATCCTTGAGAAGGCGGCGCTCCTCGGCGGTGGTGCCAGCTGTCAGCACGCGGTCAATGCAGCGAGCCAGTGTAGTGTGAAAATGTTCCTGGATGCCACTTATGGGTTCGCTGTCGGTGACTTCAGGTCCGACTGCTTCAGACGCATCGCTGCTTAGGCCTGGCAAGAAAACGCAGACTGTCCATCGGGGCAATGGCTCCATGTCAAATGTCGCGTACCGCGAATGGTGGTCCATACCGTCATAGGTCGATTTAAATAAGTTGCCGGCCAGCGAATCGGCAACCTGCTGAAAATGTGCAGAAGTAAAACCGAGGCCGCCATGGGTTGTGAAGGGAACGAATGGAACCGCTGGGCCAGACCGCCAACCCCCATCGTGCAAACCTAAGCGTGAGTGGGCCACAATGGAACCGGGTGTGCCCGAAGCCAGAGCGTGGCCAGCACCGGGTGTGAGAATGCGTGCTGCAACCTGCATCCAGCGACCATATTGGTTGGAGCCCAGCCGATAGCGCGCCGTGTAGACATTCGGAGATCCTATACGTATTTCCTCGCGGTATTCAATGTGGAGGGGCAGATACGCAGCATCTCCAGAGTCTTCCCTGCGACCGCTCAACGCCGACCCGTTGACGATGCATTTTACCAGGTAGGGCGATGGTCGCCAGTGCCAAAGGTCGGCAAGCTGCTGGTCAGGGGCATGGACAAATGGTACGAGTAAACCGTCATCGTCTTCGCGTTTGTCGGGAATTTCTCTGCGGCCGTGGCGCGATTCTAGGATCGATAGGCGGATCTTGTCAAACGCGAAGGGACCCGAACCCTCATCGGGCCCATGCTGGCTGAGGCCGTGGTAAGTCTCTTGGACGACTGCTGCATGGTATCCGCCGACGTACCCTTTCAACAGAGAGATGCTGATTTTCTGGGTCGCACCCATGAGACGGAACACGGCGTCAACAAACGTCATGGGGTCTGCCAAGTCAAAACGAACGGCACCTTGGTAGCCGTACAAGAATGCACGGGTGGTCCGCACCGAAAATGTCTTGCCGAACGACCCGACACGGACTGTCTTCATTCTTTTGACCACCTCTGCACCGCCAAGAAGACGAGGAACAGTTCTCGCAGGAATTGTCAAAGTGACGGGCTCCGCATGGTCTTGGTCTTCGCCCGTCTCTGTGATGTCCGAATCCGAAAACGCATCCGTGTCGCCCCACGGCATTGGGGAAATATCGGCGCCGTTGGTGTTATCGGTGCTATTGGTGTCATCTCTGGCTTCCAGTGGCGGCACCGGCACACCAAAGTAGGACATGGCAAGCGTCATGGCTTCGACATGTGTCCGGTTGAGAGGCGTGGCGGCAGGAAGGCAAAAGCCACCGTCAGAAGGGGAAATCTGCAGGCGTCGCTTCGTATAGAGCTGACGGTGCTCTTGTTGCAGCCGGTACAGCACTGCGTTTTGGTCACGAGAGACGGTAAACAACAGATCGCACTCGTTCTGCGAGAGCCCTGCTTGCATGGCAAGCTCCTGCAAGGTCACAGGGTTGTCCTGGTCTTCCAGACGAGCTCGAAGTGCGGCTACGAGCCCGACAAAGTCTGGGTCATCAGAACGGATGGATGACCGCCGGCGGTGAGGCGAGGACGTCGGTAACGGCGGGGGCAGACCGCTGATGCCGCCACAAAACTCGACGCCCATCTCACTAGTTTTGGACTGCGGCGTGGAAAACGAGGGCCACCAGAACATGCTGACGACGAATAACAAAATGGGGATTGGGTAATTGGTTAAGATGGCAGCAAGTGAGACGTTCGGAAGTGTGAATTGTTCCTCGGGAAAATTTGTGAAATAAGACACAAGTGAAAAATTGAGGAACGGACACGATACACATAAAGTACAGGAAGAACAGAATGAAGGTCCAATATAAATAAGGTCGCGGGCACAAAGTAGAACATGCTTACCTGTTCTCATCTTCAAAAAAAAAATACTATGCCATTTACGTGGCACAAGACGCCTAGAATTGACCTCCGTCTATTCTTACATCCCTTTGATGGTCGAATGTATCACACCACACAAAGAAAGGAACGGTTGTGCCTCAAGAGATAATGTTGGGCGAACAAATTTTCCCAAGGCGGACAGTTTAGCACACTGTAGGGGACTTGTATTCCGGTTTCGTCAAAGCCCAGTTGGTAATTCTTTGTTTTGCTCTGCTGTTGTCAAGCGGCTTCAGGTTGGGAAACGATCCTTGGGCTCGATGCGGACACAGGGATGAGGCGTCGTCGAGTTTGTTTTCGAACGCTCTCTGCCATCTAAGGGCGCAGCGTTAGTATGCAGGACGTCTGAAAGAAAAGAATCAAAAATATTGATCCAAAGGCGGGGCTGTGTTTTGATGCCGAATAGGGGTCAGGGGTTGAAAGTATTCATCTGTTGGTTGTTGTTGTTTTTGTTGGCCGATGCAGGTCTGGTGAAGAAGTCGGCGCTAACGACTTACAACAATTGCAACGCCCTTATTTTGACGAAAACGGACCAGCAGATGAACAGCATTCTTTTCACAAAGTCTGGGAAATTATCCTCCGTACCTTGTCTGCATACTGCTTCCTTTGACGCACAGGCTAGGTGGCCGTAGCTTTGCGGCCGAGAAGGAAAACTTGCAAAGTTGAGCCGCCACTGCGAGGGCGTTGTGAAACCTGGCAGAGACAGAGCTTGGCTCGGTGGGAGAGCTAGACTGTGACAGGCGAGTCGGGTTCAAATCTCACCGCGAGATCGAGTATGGTTGGAAGACAGCACAATACGGGCCATAATGACCAATGCTATTGACGAGATACCGTATTGCTTGCTGTCACCACTCTGTCCGATGGATTATCGCCGAACAGGAGATGCAGCCAAAGGGCTACAAATAAAGTCAGCCGACTTGACCACGGTTGTTTTGGCCACAGATAAACAGACATAGTCATATATTCGACGGTCATATTGGCTTCGAGCGAGTCGACAAAAGCGACGGCTTCGGCAGCCTCAGCCGTGCCGTCAAGTGTCGTTCCGCCATCCTGTTAGCCGGCCTGGTGAGAGGGTGCAGTTTGAAAGCAAACAAGCCGCCGCGCGTTGAATGTGATGATGACAGAAAGCAGTGACATTGGAACTGGAAATTAGAAAAGGACAAGAAGAAAAGAACACATATTAAGCCCCTGAATTTTGCAACATCTTGTGGTCTTCCTAGCTGAAAAGGGCAGTTGTACATTCGCACCTTCCTTCAGTCTGCTGGACTTGATACTGGACAGGAAGCTAACTGCACTATTCATTTTATGGCCTTGTGGCGCTTTACACGCAACTTTCCCCGCCACAACATGGCTATTGACACGGCCTTCACTCTGCTGACGGCTAGCCAATAATACCTCACAATTGCATCCAATGGCCCCACTCTGGAGCTTTCACCGGCAGTCGCATGTGGACGGGCTTATCTGATTGGCGGAGCAGGGTTCGTGCGGTTGGGCTTGCCAATGGCCAAAAGGGAAAAAAAGCGACGCAAAAGCCGACCGCGATCATACCACGACTTGATCTCACGACCACACATTCTGGTCAACTGCCTCTTCTACCAGCACCCGTCGCTTCCTTTCCCCTCTTCTCTTGGGAGAATGCGCCGTCGCGGCCGTGGCGTGTAGACAACAATGCCGCCGCCAGGCCAAGTATTGCCTCTGCTCCGCAAGGGCGGATGTGCTGTCGCATCGACCCTGACATTGCGGACGGCAGCAAGTACAGGCACATGCCGACGGGTGTGGCCGGCGCGGACGCAAACACAGACAACACATGTGCCACAGTTATTATTACAACCTCTGCACTGCCACCATGGCTTTTCGACGTCACGACGGGCACCCTCTGCTTCGGCAACAGCTGGAGGCCGTGGGCGGGGTGACGGATCTGCATCTTCGAACAGCGACAACGCCACGCCATTCGAAGACGAGCACCTGAAGAAGAGCTACTTCCTGTCCAATACGCTCATGGACCGTGTGGCCGGCCTCAGCCCCGGCTCGTCTCTTTCCAACTCCCCCGACCCCCACAACCCGCATGCCAACGCCGAGGCCCTTCCACATCGCCGGCGCCAAGCCGCACGACGGCAAGCCAAACTGGCTGCTGCTGCTGCTGCGTCGTCCACTTCGTCCTCGACTGTCCCCTCCTCGGCCGTCTCCCCCGAAGAAACCTCCGCCTCCCACTTCGCCCCCTCCTCATCGTCCGACCTTCCCGAAAACGCCTCCGCCATCCTCAGTGACATGGCCGCTCGCCAGCCCACAACATCGATTCGGCGCCTGGCATCGTCGCTGCTCTCGCTCGCCAAGCCGCGACTGACTGTGCTTGTCGTACTGACGGCCATGGCGCCGTATGCGCTGTACCCGGTGCCGTCCTTCTTGTCCAACGGCCTGCTCGAGACGACACCCTCCCTCTCGCCGCTGACCCTCTTGTTTCTGACAACGGGCACGGCCCTCTGCTCGGCCTCCGCCAACGCGCTCAACATGCTGTACGAGCCCGACACGGACGCGCGCATGTCGCGCACGCGCAACCGGCCGCTCGTGCGCATGCTCGTCAGCCGCCGCGCTGCGCTCTTGTTTGCCGTGGGCTGCGGCGTGGCGGGCGTGGCCGCTCTGCAGTGGGGGGTCAACCCCACGGTGGCGTTCCTGGGCGTGGCCAACATTGCGCTCTATGCAGGCGTCTATACCCCGATGAAGCGACTGAGTGTCCTCAACACGTGGGTCGGCGCCCTCGTCGGCGGCATCCCGCCGCTCATGGGCTGGGCCGCCGCCGCCGGCGAGTCCGCCGCCACGTCGTCGGCCCGCGAGCTGCTGTTTGCGCCCGACGGGTCGAGCGCCGGCGGCTGGCTGCTGGCCGCGCTGCTGTTTGCGTGGCAGTTCCCGCACTTTATGGCGCTGTCGTGGGCCGTGCGGCACGAGTACCAGCGGGCGGGCCTGCGCATGCTGGCGTGGGTGAACCCGGCGCGCAACGGGCGCGTGGCCCTGCGGTACGCCGCCGCGTTCTTGCCCATCTGCGTCGGGCTGTGCCTGGCCAACGTCACGTCGTGGAGCTTCGCCGTCACGAGCCTGCCCGTCAACGTGTGGCTGGTGCGCGAGGCATACCAGTTCTGGCGCTTCGAGGGCCACCAGGGCTCCGCGCGGCGGTTGTTCTGGGCGAGCGTGTGGCATCTGCCCGCGCTGATGGTGCTGGCCCTGCTGCAAAAGAAGGGCATGTGGACGCGCGTCTACCAGAGTGTGTTTGGACAGCCCGTGCTGGATGATGACGACGAGTTGGATGACGACGACGACGACGACTACCTCTGGGAGGACGAGGGCAAGACGGGGTCGGTCCCAGCCGTCGTGCCAGTGGCTGCCTCGCCGACATCCAAATAGCAGAGCTATGTTATACCATCGTGAAGACCAATAATTATTGCATAGTAGAGGGAACATAATCTGGGCAGGTGTTTGTTTGCATTGTACGATAGCGGGTTGGTAGGCATCAAAAGGAGCATCTTGGCTGGATAACAGTTCCGTTTTCTTAATTTTGTTACATCCACGAATAGATTGTTAATATCAACCTCGTCCTCGCTTTACACGGCAACGACAAAGAACGACCATGTAGTATACACAGGTACGATCATCTCTAATCCTACCTGTTATGTTTCTATTGATTTTAAGTTGATGTCAGCAGTCAGTTCAGGCGTTTTACTCTTTTCAGAGCCGGCCAAGCGAGCTCTTTTCGTGTGCTCGATTTGACACCGTTGGCCTAGCTTTCGTTATCCTGCGTCGATTCAACCGGCAACGTTGTAACTGCCCTTTACTTTTGTAACGTCATCAGATATTCTCGGAAATAATATCCTCTGGATAACGACTAGAGTACATAAAATCAATAACTGAATAATGGTATACACGTTTTCGGATGTTTCAGGATCTTGTCAAATTGATTCAGATTCAGGTATAGTAAATGTAAATTGCGTCGTTCAAATAACTGTACAAAAAAAGAGCAATGTAATTAGGGACCAACCAAACCAGATCGTGGTAAACGCCAGAGCACCTGTCCTGTTTTGCTGTCATTAAATGCACCTAAACGCCGTCTCCAAAATAACCGCCAATAACCAAACCCAATAATAATGAACACAATTCCCAAAAATCAAATAAAAAGAAGAACTGAAACTTCAAGAAACCAGCCGCCCACCGTTAATGCACAAAAAATGACGAGACAAATGAAAGAGCGTAAAAACAGACAAATGAAATTGTAACTGTAGCGTGTTGATCACCGCCGGTGAAGCAGCGCGTCAATACCCATATCGGGCGACAGGCGGTGGCTGTGGTGGGCCTGCTGCTGTGCTGGGTGGCCATGGTGCTGGTGATGGCCCATGTACGGACTGACCATGGCTGCGCCGCTACCGGTGGATGGGACTGTACCAGCGCCGCCCGAGAAGCCCGTGGAGGTGGCGGTGTAGTAGTCTGGATATGTGGCACCAGGCGAGCCGACCTCCTGCTGGGGCACCACGCTGGGACTGCCCGCCGAGGATGGCACCTGGAGGTGGGAGTAGCTGTGCGAGTGCGAGTGGGAATGTGAATGCGCGTGCCGCCGCGACGGGGCCTGCATGTGGTGCGTCGTCTGCACCGACACCGTGCTGCTGTTGCTGCCGCCCGACACCGACCGGTTGCCGGTACCCACGTTGCTGCCTGTGCTGCCACCTGGAGAGCCATGGCCGTCGATCAAATTGTCACCGCTGCCGGCCTCTCCACCACCACCGCCGCCGCCGACGCCCTCGACACCACTCCCCGCCACAAGGTGCGCGTGGCCGTTGCTGCCGACGACCATGCTGGTGCCGAGCAGGTTCTCGTCGCCGGCATAGGCAGGCAGCCCCCCCACACCGACATACCCCTGCTCGATCCGCAGCCGCCGCGAGGACGACCGCGACACGCCCTGCAGGTTCTTGAGCCCGGCATTCATGCACTTTTGCTCCACCGTCGTCCACTTCTCGCCCGTCCGCTGCGCCAACGGCGTCCACATTTCGCGGCGCATGTGCATGTACTCGCGCGCCAGCTGCTCCATCTTGCGCGCGTCAAAGTCGTTGGTGGCGTTGCGGCGCTCCATCAGGCGCTCGTGGCGCTTGCGGCAGGCGTTGGGGGTCTTGCCGGGGAACTGCATCTGGATCTGTGCCCAGTTTTCGCCGCGCGCGCGGGCCTGGAGGAGGGCGTCGTCGTCTTGCGGGGTCCAGGCACTGGAGGACGCCCGGCCGCTGCCACCGCCGCCCGGGGCGGTAGACTGAACTGAAAAGTTGGCCGAGGCCGAGCGGGCGCCACTTCGCGACATGCGGCGACCGTTGCTGGTGACGACGGTCCCGGGGAGGTTGCCGCCGAGTGTCAAGGGGGGCCCGACGGCAAAGGGTTCTTGCTGCTGGTAGGAGGCAACGGCAGCCATGGCGTTGCTGCCGAGCGTACCGGCCGTCGAGGTCGACACGCCCTCGGGAAGCTGGTCGTAGTAGCCGACGGCACCATTGGTGGAGGCCACGCCTGGGCCAGAAAGGGACCCGATGCGACCGTGATGGTAGTAGGAGGGCATGCCTGCTTGGTGATGATGCGACTCGAGAGAGGAGGGAAGTGCAGTGTAAGACTCGGAGCTAGCACTGGAGGTGCGGCTGAGTCTGCTCATGTCGATGGGACGAGAGTACGAAAGTAAAAAAAAGAATGGAGACAGTGACAAACTGAAAATGTAGAGAATGCAGTAGGTACAGACAGGGAATTTGTAGAGACACGAGTGGAATGAAGTGAGTGGATTGTGTGTGTGCGGTCGCGAGCGAGAGGAAATTAGTGATTATCACTATGACTTGTGTAAGTGAGAGTAATGATACGGAAAATGACTGTGTATATGGAGCGAATTGGGAAAGTAAAAACGCAAAAGACGGTGAAAGAACACTATGTCGGTTCGTATCAAACGAACGACGACGACAAGAAACGAAAGATGAATCGAAAAGTACACGACACACAGACGGACAATGAAGAACAAGAAGCAGAAAGAAAAAAGAACGACGAAAAGAAAGGGTTGATCTTGGTATCTTGAAATGGTCTGACGAAGGAAGAACCAAAAGAAGAAATGGACAAGGCCAGGCCGGCCTTCTTATAAGACAAAATGAACGACGAGACGAGTGGATAAGGTGTATGTGTGAGTGGAACGATATGACACAAACGTACAAAACGGCTAGAGACCAAAAGGCAAAAAGCATAAATCAAAAATAGAGCGCAGGGCCAAGGATGGCGACGGCGTCTAACAAAACGCAGCAGCCGATCGATTGACAGTCGACGACAGACTGCCGGGTAGGACAGGAGCCGCCGAGGGAAGGCTGTGTGAGACAGTCGAGAGGAGTAAATAAACCGAGACAGAGACACACAAAAGAGTGTAGACAGAAGGCGGGCTTGCCACAATGTCGAATGATGTTGCCTTCACAAGCAAGAAAGACGGCCGTAGACTGTGCAGTCCCTTCCAGGCGTCTACAGGACGTGTAGGAGATATTTTTGTGTAGCAGCAGCGCGTGTATTTTTTCTGTTATTTTTAACTCCACAGATATGCACGGCGGAAATGAGGGTATTCCCAGCGGGTGGAAGAGTGATCTGAAACAGCGAGACAGGTAGGGGGACAAGAAAGAAGGAATGGAAAGAAGCAGATGAAACCAGATAGTGTACCCAAACATACGAGTCGACGGCCAACGGGCCTCTGATATTGGCTGGACGGCGTGGAGAGACGTCCAGCCGGTTTGTCTGGTATGTTTATCGGTGGTGTACGTGCAATCTTGGGCGGCTAGATGTTGTTTGGGAGGACCGTGGAGTGGGCCTGGGGAAGGCACAGTAGAAGCAAAAACGAAGCACTGACGAGCTTGAAAGAGCGTGTGAGAGTGTGCAGGGTATCGAGAGAAAAAGGAAAAAAGAAGAAAGAAAAGCATAAGAGTGGCTGGAGAGGCAAAGGAGACGGGGGTACGGGGAAGAGGATGGGCGCCAGATTGGGCGCCTAGCTGTTTTATGTACGATGGAGCTGTAAGTTGGGACGTACGTGAATTTGCAAGAAGGCCAAGAAGGGAAAAGGAAAGAACAAATTCTACTCCATTTCTGGAGAAATCGGGAGATTTCTTGACCGCGGATGGTAGTCTTGGAGACCACCATGCCTTTCACTCTACGGAAAGGTACGGCGTGTTGACGAACATACCAAAAAGGGAAATGTCGTTGAGCAGACGAGGCAGATGTCAGGACGAAAATGTAAAAATAACTAGTGCAATATCGGACTACCATATTAGCTGTGTGTACAGCACCCTTGCTATATTGCAGGAATTTGTTTTCTGAAGACGGGTAGTTGACGACATGCGATCTTGTACGTCAAAGCAATCTAACAGACAGCTCTGAAAGGTCTGCGAGGCGCGCAGGGCAAGCTTGGAAGCCGGCGGCGGCAACAGAAAGGGGAAAATAAATTGGCAGGTTCAAAAATAGCATGGAAAGAAGCCATCCGGGGAAGGACAGGACAAAACGAATGAAAAGATCGGGAAACCAAAGGAAACACACGCGGTAGACGAGCCGTCCACGTTCCAAGAACACTTGTCCGTGGTTGTTCCTGGTTCCTGCAGGCAAGAGACGCGCCAATTTAGATTGCCGCCGGAAACATGATCAGACAGCTCTGTGCTTTGGCTCTTGGGCTCTTGTCTGTTGGCTGTTGGCATTTCTGCAGGAATAGATCCCAAGGCGTCAACAGATCTCGAGGATGTGGCCTGCACGAGGCCTGATAGATGCTGTGTTACGATGTTTGGAGAGAAGCAAAATCGAACATCAAGATGTTTGTATGCCATGTCAATTGCTGGCAAATGGCGTTGCGTGGCGCCGATTGTTCAGGGGTCTTTGAAACAAAACAAATCCACTGTCTGTCCAGCGGCGGTCCACTAAAGCCCACAGCCGTCCACTGTAGCGGCGAGCGGCTAACCCCGACAAAAGCGTCTGAGCGAACGGCATCGACGCCAAGGATGCACAAGCACCAAGCCAAGCACGCGACAGAAAACAGACGATTGAGCCCTCATCCGCTGTGCTTTATTTGGCAAAACTTTGGGGAGAAGAGGACAAAGACTCGAGGGAAACATGAACTGAAAAATGGTATCTAGACTGGGCTCAATTTGCTTGACGTTTTTTGGGTTAATTTGCAATATTTGCCAAAGTGAAAAGAGGCTTTGCGCTGTTCACCCAGCCGCGCTCCCTCTTCTTCAGCGGCTTTCGTTTTTGCGCTGTTTCTATTTATGGCACATCACGTGGAGCGCCCGCCATTGGACAATTTGGACAACGCGAGGAAATTGAGCGTACCGCCAACATGGAAACCCGGAACCGCTGTCAAACATTTACCACCTGCAAAACATCGCGACGTCAATTAGACGCCCGCATCTCTGGCGTCTCGCTTGCCTCTCCCCGCTCTCTTTCTCGACGAGTGCCCGCCTTCTCTGGTCAGGATAGCGTCCTCTCCAGATATTCTTGTCTTGTGAGCTCAGCCACAATGATTGAGTTCGTTGTGTCGAGGTCATGCGCCGGTTATGCCAAGTACTGCACAATTTCAGAAGCCCACGAGACCACACCAACAGCTTTCCTGCGCGATATACATCTAGATGCTCCCCTATGTTTCAGGGACGACAAGCACCGACCAGATCGATTGGTCGGGGCCTGGCCGTGGCCATACGAGACCTTGTTTAACGAGCCGTGGACATGAACATGCCAGCTCGTAGCCGGGTTTAGCGACATACCGCTCACAACACTTTTTATGACATAAGCACCCTGAAATTGCGTGACAAGATTCGGAGGTTCTTGTAATCTGCCACGGGGACGTGGCATCGCGGTCGCTCCTTCTGCTTTCGTCTTCTCGAACAAGGTCCGCAAAGCGCTCGGGAAGCAGGAGCGGGCCAGGCCTAGCGGCCGCAGCTTCGTATGAACGACAAGCCAAGTGCCACAATGTCGTTCATAAATCCCACGATGGCTCTCATAAACGACAATCGAGTACCGTGTGCTTCTGTTGTTTAGTCGGACAAAGTAAACAAACTCCGCATGCCCGGCGCGTCGAAGAAATCGGATTTAGCGTCTGACGGTTTGCTGCTGACGCTTGTAAGTGCCTGTGATTTCCGATTTTGGTTGGTGGATTGTAGCACTACATGCGCCCAAACCTAACCTGGTATAAGTCCGTTGGAAGATATCATGTCGGCGGCCAACAAAAGCATAAAATCGGCAGTGGAAGCGACGAAACGAGGAACATCGATTGGCGATGGCGAGGCTGGACATGCCCACCCTTTTATGTGGTGCCTCGCGGTCTGCACTCGGTTCTTATCTTCAAAAACGGAAGTGCAATTCGCACATCAGCTTTTGTCACCGTTTCTCGACCAGTGTTGTGGTGCAAAACGCATGACGGTATTGATTGTCCTTACTTGATGGGATGGTGTCTGCCGAAAGGCCAAGAAAACGGCAAGAATAAATGAAGGATCGTCCGAAACGGGCACGGACAGATATGTACGGAGTTGGGGGAAAACCGCCGAAATCTGCAGGCCGTGTCTTGGCAGATTTACCAGGGACCCTTCTTTTTTTTTTTTTTGTTCATTGTCGGAGCGTCCCCGTTCGTTTCTCCATCTCGACACAACGTGGAGAGAGTTGTCGACCGGACCATGAAGGGATTACAAATGAAGCCTGACGTGTGAGCAGAATGTTCTCATGAGCATTTCTCAATATGTCTACTGTGCATTCACAAGACGAGCCGGCAATGCTATCCGGCCGGTGGAAAACCAAGTGTCTCCAAATCCCTGGACACACGAAAAGTGCGATAGAGGAACAGAACGGTTGCCATACCCCAGAGAAGGCCCGATATCCTCTCCACTTGTCCTCCGCCTTCTCCTCACCCTTTTGACTTTTGCCGCAATGGAGGAAAGTCTTCTCCGTATGTTTCGTTCTTTCTAGCTTCTTAGCGCCGGTTCTCGATTTCGATTCACCCCCAGCACTCCCCCATTTACCCCATTCTCGACTCTCCATCTTTCATTTAGCCTGAAGTGAACCAGCCCCCACTTCACGACTGCCGTCATCCAAACCGCCACGAGGCAACATCACCCGAAGAAAACTGTCTGACTGTGTCTCATGATTGGACACTCCAGGAGTCTTCTCCAGTGGCCACCGTTAAATCGCCGAAAGTTGACTTTTGCCGGGGGGCAATTGCCCAGTCTTTCATTCCTTCTCTCCGACAGTCTCGCCGTTTTGACTTTGACGGTGTGCAGTGCCGTATTGCCGCTACAACAAGCCACAAATGCATCCCGTTGTTGCTCGTACCAGACTTGCGTTGTGTCTGGTAGCATAATCTTTCACCTCCACGCAACTAAGAAACGGAACGGAACAGAAAACCTTCATTTTAGTCCTTTCTAATTTTTTTTGCTTGCTTTCTTCGTTTATCGAATGCCCATCCGAGATCGATCGCGTTGGCTGAAAGGCTAGTCAAAAATGGAATAATCGAAACGCCACAAAGACAAAAAATCTCCTTTGCTTCGTTCCTTAGCCTTTCTTGGCAGCTTTCAATCTTGGCATGCCGACTGCTGGGTTTCATGGAACGACGACTCATGTTTAATGCTCCAGTCGTTCGTAGCGGCCGTCTTTCGTTACTCCAATTGAAACTTTCACTTTTGGCGTTGCATTGAGGTCCGGGTAATGGCAAGGAGGCCTTACCACAGAAGAAGAGGAAAAGAAGGCCAATAATAAGAGCAACTCTAGCCCCACTGCCACGGAGTTTGTTGTCTTCGGATAATCATACCTCGTAGTTCGCCATCAACTTTAAGGTGTGTCGGCCGTTTTGGACATTTTTTAGTCCCCAGTCGACCTCGTCTGCAATTTACCCGGCAAACTGGGCACCGAAATGAGGTGCCTAATGACATTGACTGGTAGTCGTTCTCCGTACTGACTCCAAATGATCGCCATTTATCCCGTATCCTGGTCTAGTGTCTCGTCGTTTTGTTCCCCTCTCCAACATAAGACTGCAGCCTTCTTCGGTCCGCTGTGGATCCATTTCACGTGCGCTCGCAAGCGACTACTTTTCGTGTTTGTTCTTGCGCCGTTGTCATGTTCTCACGTCGCCAATATCTGTGACGGACTCTGTGTGCTGAAGAAGCGAGTATCAAAGCATTTTGAACCTGTAGACATGTAAACACCAACAACGCAGGACGCAACATATTCTTCCCGTGCACCGCTTCCGTCTTTGTAGCACTCGCTGTTCCACGCCGGCGACCCAAAGACAATCTACGTCCCATATTGAGGTACATGGGATCATCGCCAGGACCTGCATGCGCCGGAACGACACCGTCTCCATGTGGTAGGATGCCAGGCCATTGACACCCACCCGTGCCACGTTGACCGAGAGTGGTGGACTGTAAAAACAAATCAACCGCCTAGTCTAAACGACGGGCGCCTTAAAATTAATGAAAAAAGAAGCTTTCATCCTTGTCGCGTACCGCGTATACAGACTTCGTATACATCAACCAAGGTCACCTCATCCCGGCCGCGTGCATGGATCGCCGTTTCTGGTCCTCCCGTCCCGTTTTTTATTCTTTTATTATTTACGGTTTTATTAGTGTGTTCGTCTTCTTAGCCGTAATCACACCCTCCCATTCGCACCCTTCGACCGTTTTGGCCGTCCTTGTCCTCGAGTCACCTCGCTTCCGTTCATCCAGAGACTCCCAGAGTTCGGGTCCTCGCCCACTTCCCCTCAAACGAGCTGGACCCATCCTTTTCCCCAACTTATAATAAAGCTGTCCAAGCTGTCTCTCTTTGCCTTTTTTTCCTTTCTCCCGTTCTTGCTTCTCTGTTTTCGCCTCTTTGCTGTGACTGGAACAACTTCCTCCCATTGTCTCTTGGCGCTCTTCGTTTTTCTCAACCTGTGTTACGGCCTTGGCTCTTGGACATTTGTTGCCATCACCCACACCCATCGACCCCACGTTCAACTTCGTGTCATATCCCCGTCCTCAACATGGTCGGCGGCGGCGGCGATTCCGGCGGCTTCTACGATGCGGCCCTGACGCGCCGGCAGGCCCTCATGGGCGCCAGCGGTGCGCGTGCGCTGCTCAAGAACTTCCGTGTCTTTGCGATTGCGGCGTTTGCCTGCATTGGCGGTGTCCTGTACGGCTACAACCAGGGCATGTTCTCGGGCGTTCTCGCCATGCCCGCGTTCCAGCAGCGTACGTCGTCACTTCCCTCATATCATCATCATATACGTTTGTGTTGTCTGCTGCAGAGTGCTAACGACAAGTAGACATGGGCGAATATGACCCGTTTGACCCGAATGCGGACCAGACCAAGAAGGGCTGGCTGACGTCTATCCTCGAGCTGGGCGCCTGGGTCGGCACGCTGCTGTCCGGCTTCCTGGCGGAGACGCTGTCGCGCAAATACGGCATCCTGGTGGCGTGCTCCGTGTTCATGCTGGGCGTCGTCATCCAGGTCACGGGCATCAAGGCCGGCTACCAGTCGATCCTGGCGGGCCGCTTCATCACGGGTATGGGCGTCGGCAGCATGGCCATGATTGTCCCCATCTACAACTCCGAGGTCGCGCCGCCCGAGGTGCGCGGCGCCCTCGTCGCCACGCAGCAGCTGGCCATCACGTTCGGCATCATGATCAGCTTTTGGATCGACTACGGGACGAACCACATCGGCGGCACGGAGCTGGGCCACCAGACGGACGCGGCGTGGCTGGTGCCGATTTGCCTGCAGCTGGCGCCGGCGCTGGTGCTGTTCATCGGGATGCTCTTCATGCCCTTCAGCCCCCGTTGGCTCGTGCACCATGGCCGCGAAGACGAGGCGCGCAAGGTGCTGTCGAACCTGCGCGGGCTGCCGGCGGACCACGAGCTGGTGGAGCTCGAGTTCCTCGAGATCAAGGCGCAGTCGCAGTTTGAGAAGCGCACCGTCGCCGAGCACTTCCCCCACCTGCGGCAGCCGACGGCCTGGAACACGTTCAAGCTGGAGTTTGTGGCCGTCGCCGCGCTCTTCAAGACCAAGAGCATGCTCAAGCGTGTGGCCGTGGCGACCATTACCATGTTCTTCCAGCAGTGGACGGGTATCAACGCTGTTTTGTAAGACCCCTCTTTCGTCCCTGCCCTCTCAACCCAACAGAGTATTCCTTGTGGCCTCCGAGTGTCCTGACTAACCTCGTCTCTCTAGGTACTACGCCCCTACCATCTTCCAGCAGCTCGGCCTCAGCGGCACCACGACGTCCCTCCTGGCCACCGGCGTCGTCGGCATCGTCATGTTCGTCGCCACCATTCCCAGCGTGCTCTGGATCGACCGCATCGGCCGCAAGCCGGTCCTCACCATCGGCGCCATCGGCATGGCCACCTGCCACATCATCATTGCTGTCATTGTCGCCAAGGACGACAACCGCTGGAAGACCGAGGCGGGCGCCGGCTGGGCGGCCGTCGTCATGGTCTGGCTGTTTGTCATCCACTTTGGCTACTCCTGGGGCCCCTGCGCCTGGATCATCGTCGCCGAGATCTGGCCGCTGTCGTCGCGTCCGTACGGCGTGTCGCTCGGTGCGTCCAGCAACTGGATGAACAACTTCATTGTCGGCCAGGTTACGCCGGACATGCTGACGGGCATCACCTACGGCACCTACATCCTGTTTGGCCTTCTGACGTACATGGGCGCGGCCTTTGTCTGGTTCTTTGTGCCCGAGACGAAGCGCCTGACGCTCGAGGAGATGGACATCATCTTCGGCTCCGAGGGCACGTCGCAGGCCGACTTTGAGCGCATGGAGGAGATCAACCGGGAGATTGGCCTCACGGCGATTCTCCACAACGGCAGCCCGGGCGAGGCAGCCGTCAAGTCCACCGAGCCCGGCCCAGCCGTGGTGTCTGAGAAGGAGGATGCGGCGACATATGCATAGACCAGATGGCTGTGCTATGTTTTGTGTGCGTCGTATGTCGCGTGTCTTGTGTGGGGAGGACGATGGCCATGAGCGGTATCCGGTGATGAGAGGAGACGAAGACGAGGACGAGGACGCGATCACGCTGCGGCACACCGAGGGCGACAGCCACAATGCCCGACAAAAATCAAAACTACTTGATATCCAATATCCCGTATTTGTTTATTTTTCACTTGACCCCAAATGCCCCTTAATTTTAGTTGTTGATAAAATTTAATATACCAGATTGCATGATGGGACAGCATCAAGCGACATAGAAGACAATGCAAGGTGGTCAAAAGACTCTGAACTCTTGTCTCAAGATAAGGTAGGGCTGGACGCTTTGGTGGGAGTCCTACACAGATCCAGCGCCTATGCTCGGCGCCTTTAAGCACTCCGTCCTGCATCTTTCGAAAAGGGCAACCGAAACAGAATGCCCCACAAAACGTGACAGGAGATAACGGGCGGGAAACCTGGGGAGGACTGGAGTAGTTGTAGGACCGGAACCCACCGACAAGCTGTCACATATACGCGATGCACACAATATGTCCTTGACTATCGCGGCCCATTTCATGTAAGTACATCGTACACGCAAGTTTCTTTAAAACGGCCAAGCACGTTGTCATTTGTTTCTTTTTTTTGGTTTCATTGTTTATCGTTCATGCCCTTTGATACCATGGACCCGGGACAGCCGCCGATCAAAGTGTGGCAACGCGCTGCATGGCATGGCATGTCCAAGCTTTGTTTCAGAATGCCATGTGCGTCGAAGCTGACATTGCGAATACTCTTCGTCGTTGTTGACGAGATTCGCTGTTGGGACACATACACGAGATCGGCAGGGCCCGATGCCGTATAGGCCAACCGTTGGCAAGGGACTTCGACGGCTTTTGGCTGCTGTTACGACTCGCCCCGAATACGACCTATCCTGCGTTGTATGAGACGATAGCAGAAAAATAAGGACTTGTGTATCTCGGTATCTTACAACATAAGCCTGCGACGTACGAATGTACTACTCCAGAGTCACTAGTAGGTGCAGATATGTGGAGACGGGGACAGGGCCCAGACCAAGTCGAGTCCAAGGCACGCAGCTGTGTCGTATTGTGGACATTTGGCGCAATCTCAAGCCAGCCGGAAAGGGAAGCTCGGAAAACGGCCACCGAAAGGGAGTGGAATCTTATGAACATACGTCGTACCGGGAAAAGCTGGGAGGCATGTCGTGTGAGGAAAGGAAGCTGAAACGAAGGACATTGCCTATGTGAATGTGCAGAACCTACATTTTTGTGTAATATGCACATAACGGGAAAGGTCAAAAAGGGGCTATTAAAACAGGTCACTATATTCGACCGACTATCACAGAGGTAAAGGCCATAGAACTGCAGTTACAAATCACATTTGTGGAGAAGAAAAAAAGAACGAAAAGAAAAGAAACAGTACTACAGACTCTTTCTTCCTGCCGCAATAATAAGATAGCACGTCGCAACGAATGGATCGAGGCTGCTCTTGCAGTCACGAAAATACAAACACGCCAGCAGAGCCGGAACCAGGGTAATGCATTGTACGTGTGAAGCAAACAACGGCATTGCCGAGAGGTGGGTAGAATACCGGGCAAATGGCGGTTCGTTGATGGGTGGTCGCCGGCAGGCAGAGATATACAGTGGGGGCAGTCAAGCTCGGGACCAAGAGAGGTACTGCAGTTCTCACTCATATCCCGGCATGAAAAGGTATCCCCCACGATGCTGATGTCCAATGGCGGGGATGCCACTTCGGCCGAAGACACTGTCTTGGGTTATCCCGCGCATGCGTGTATAACGCCCTGCATCTTGTTATCGCATAGGTCGTTGGACCAAGATAAAGGCAGTCCTAAACACAGGCATTGTTAAGCAATATTTTGTTTCGACTTTTGACTCGATAATCAGACGGTAGCTGTCAGTGGTCGTGTGGCTTGCCCGTTCCAGCTGATGATAAGCGTGAAGAAGGTAACTGACAGGGGTGGCCTTAATGGTAGACTGAAAGGGGGGTGGAGTGAGACTGAGAGGAATAAAACTGCCCGATAGCAGAGAGCATCGTATTTGCTTGTTCGACGGCACATCCAGCTGCGTGAAATGTTGACGACATGGCGAAAGCGTGAACGGGCCAGATGTTTGCGTACCGACGAGGACAATAATGCGTAGCCAAGATGTTATGGGGCCAATGGGAAAGGCACGGACACGATGAAGAAACGACGACAGGACCGTCGACGGCAGAGTTCCGACGCAAATTCAACACAATCAACCTTGTTGACAGCTCCCAATCTCAATGCCAACGCGAGCTCAGTTATCCTCGATCAGCCAGGCTCTGGATTGTTTTCTTGAGAAGCCATGCGGACTGCCAAGGCGAACGCTGTCTCTTTCGAGCCTTGACCCGTTTGGCTGAATTATGTCGTACTGATATATCTTGGAAACAAAAAACTGGACCGGCCGACAGCAAACCAATGAGTTGGGGAAGGAATCGTCGGCCTGGGCTAACCACAGGACGCAATTCATCAACTGTTTGTTACTACCCCCCTGAGGCTGATAACAACCGATGCTGTGATTGGCTCAGATGGTGATGTAGATACGGGAAAAGAGAAAGATCAGCCGCCCACCAGCATAAGAAAGCTGGAAAGGGAAATCAGACCTATGAATTACAAAGTCAAACGAAACAACAGACGGAGAGGGGAGAAGAGGAGGAACGAATTTAGAGAAGGAAAAAAAGACATTCAATGAGTGAGAATGGCTGCACTTGAGCCGCAGTTCTGCACAGAAAGCAATGAGAATACAGGCACGCTTACGATACAAGCGCACATTTACTTACACGGCACGAGATCTGCTTGATCGCTCGGCGGTTACAGGGTACAAGTCCCTCAGCCCTCAACCGTCGACAGGATCGAGTAAACGACTTTGTAAATGAGCGCAATCAGAACAAACACGGCGTGGGCCTGTTGGTGACGACGGGGCTCGCAGGTCACGTCTAGGCCCGTTCCAAGTCGAGATGCTGGAAACCAGCGGGTGCCAAACCCCAAAGAACACCTAGGAACTGTCAACTTACACCCACACTCCGTACCGAAGCTTCTTATCGGTACGCCCCCTGGCCGCCCGCTATGGCCCACCACGACTCGACCATCACCAACCCCATCCTTTTTGACTTTGCCCTCGTTGACGGCGGATTCGCCTAAGTCTCCACCCATCCATAACTACCTTGCATATCCGCTTGCTGCATGTTGTAGATGCCAGAGCTATTCTGCGGATGTCGTACGCCGTGCGACGTGCATGGACAGAGATACGGCGTCAGCCTGTCTCTGGTTGGCCTGCCATAGCTGTGCAACCCGTTGCAGCCAAATCAGTGGCGAGAGACGAAAAGGGAGACAAAATAAGCCAAGTGCAAAGTAGAACTTCCTGGACTCGGTCGTACCAGGGATCCCCAGCCATTGACAGACGGGAGATGGCCACCAGATGAGATAAAGAAGAATGCTCTCTGTATCGGGATCAGCAGCGAGACCACGCAAGCCGGGGTGAACTGGTATAAAACGAGGCCGTCCTGCCACGTTGAGATCTCCACTGTCGACCTGTCACTGTCGACCCGTCGACTGTGTCATCCGTGTGATGTGTGTTCACCCTCTTTTTTCCACTGATTTCTTGCCCTCTTTTCTCCACTCTCCACAATGAAGACACCGTCGTCGAGCGCCATCAAGGCGCGCTTCACGTCGCTCAGCGCGTGGGAGCTGCCCAAGGAGGACAGCGCCATTGCGCCGCCCGACGTCTGGACCAACCGCGACATGGACCCCACGCCGGCGTCCGACCAGACCTGGGGCATCTGGAGCATCATGGCCTACTGGGCCACCGACACCATCAACCTGGGCACCTGGGAGACCGCGTCCAGCATCCTGGCCGTCGGCCTGTCGTGGCGCGAGGCCATTCCCTGCATGGTCGTCGGCATCCTGTCCGTCGCCGTCCCCATTGTGCTCAACGGCGCCATCGGCTCCAAGCTGCACATCCCCTTCTCCGTCATCTCCACCTCGTCCTTTGGCTACTACTTCCGCTACTTCTGCATCGTCTCGCGGTCCGTGCTCGCCATGTTCTGGCTCGGCATCCAAGGCGCCAACGGCGCCCAGTGCATGACCGTGATGCTGACCGCCCTGGCGCCCTCGTACGCGCGCATCCCCAACCACCTGCCGGCCAACGCCGGCATCACCACCATGGGCATGTGCTCGTACTTTTTGTTCTGGATCATCCAGATGCCCCTGCTGCTGATCCACCCCACCAAGATCAAGCCCCTCTTCTGGATCAAGCTGGTGGCTGCCCCCGTCGCCGCCATCGCCACCATGGGCTGGTGCGTCCACAAGGCCGGCGGCGGCGGCGACATCTTCAAGCTCAAGGCCGAGGTGTCCGGCAGCGAATACGCCTACCTGTGGCTCAGCTGCATGACCGCCGTCACCGGCTCGTGGGCCACGCTCGCCGTCAACATCCCCGACTTCACGCGCTACGCCAAGAGCGCCAACGGCCAATTCGTCCAGCTGCCCTTTTTGCCCATCGTCTTTACCGTCTGCGGCCTGCTCGGCATCATCACCACCTCCGCCGTCAAGGTCTTTACCGGCCAGTACCTCTGGAACCCGCTCGACATCATCAGCCTCTGGCTCGACATGGGCCCCGGCGGCCGCTGCGCCGCCTTCTTTGCCGCCCTCGCCTGGTACATTGCCCAGGTCGGCACCAACATCACCGCCAACTCCATCTCCGCCGCCAACGACATGACCGTCCTCTTCCCCCGCTACATCAACATCAAGCGAGGCTGCATGATTGCCGGCGTCATCGCCGGATGGGTCCTCGTGCCCTGGAAGATTATCAGCTCCGCCTCGACCTTTCTGGCCTTTATGGGCGGCTACTCCGTGTTCCTCGGCCCCATGGCCGGCATCATCGCCGCCGATTTCTGGCTCGTCAAGCGCGGCCACATCGACATCCCCGCCCTCTACGATCCCCACGGCCGCTACCGCTTCTTCTTCGGTGTCAACTGGCGCGCCTTTGTCGCCTTTATCGTGCCCGTGTCGCCCCTCCTGCCCGGCCTCGCCGAGAGCATCAGCGGCCCCGCCAAGGTCAAGGTCAGCCAGGGCATCCTGCAGCTGTACGACTTCAACTGGCTGTTTGGCTTTGTCACGTCCATTGTGCTGTACACGGCCCTGAGCTGGGCCGTCCCTGAGCCCAAGACGCTGCTCACGGACACCATCTGGAAGCGTGGCGAGATTGAGGGCGTGCGGGAGTCGGGCAGCGACATTGAGAGCCCGTCGTCGGGCATGGATTCGAGCGGCAAGATGATGAGCGCGGAGGTGAAGTCGGTGCCTATGTAAGATGCTTTGCTGAGATTTAAGATGTTCGTATATGAATGAGAAGTAGATCTGTAGATACCCTAATTTCACAAGGAGAGTGAAGAGAAAATAATGAACTAGTTTTAAATAATTGTGAAACTTGTAAAATTGGACATTAAAAAGGAAAGAAAGGGGAAAAAAAGAAAAGAAATCAAACTGACGGCATAAATACGCGCAAATAAACTACGACAGAGTAAACAAAATAGTAATCGAAATTAAGTAGCCAATAAAAAAGACATCAAGATAAAACCCAATACTGGCACCATCCACGCACAAACCTAGTCAATCCGTGTCAGATTGTACACCAACATCGTCTTCTTGGCGCCACAGTACTCCGTGGTATTGCCTGGGCATGCGACATTGCAGAGAGTCTCGTTCACGGCGCTGCTGTTTCTTGGGTTGAACGTGTCGCCGCACCAGCACTGATCGCCGTTCTCGAGGCCTGCGTACTGGTGGTCCCAGCATGTAGCCAAACACAACTCGACCGACATGGTTGTGCGGTTCTGCACGACAAGGTCTGACAGCAGGTGGCCCGACGACGGTTCCGGGTAGCAGTGGAGGACCGTAAAATTGACATTACCAGTTGCGATAATCGGCGTCGAAATTGCTGAAGAAGAAGACGAAGACAACGAAAGGGTTGAGGATGGCGGGGTTGCTCCATCGCTGAGACTTGAAGATGTCGAGACGACAACCGAGGAGGAGGGACTGGCAAATGGCTTGGCCACTGACGAAGTTGAGACAGACGATGAAGACGACGAAGAAGGCATAGAGTTTGAAGGGACGGATTGGGAGCCTGCTGAAGACGAGGAAAACTGGCTCGCAGGAGACAAAACCGATGTCAAAGTAGTGGACGCCAAAGTCGATGACGCCGCAGCAGACGACGTCAAAGTGGGCGACACAGGTACTGGCGGTGCGGTCGGGGCCACCACCGAGGAGGAGCTGGGTGACGATGACGAGCCCGGCGTACTGCTTGACGACGACGACGACGACGACGACGAGACCGCCGCCGGTGAGTAGCTGTACACATTCAACAGGCTCGGGCCGCCGCAGAGCTCAAAGGCATCGCCGCCGCAGGCCATGGTGCACGCGCTCTCGTTTGTTTGCACGCTGCCGGCGGCCAGCGTGTCGCCGCAGTAGCACTGCGTCCCGTACTCGACGCCAAACACGGTGTAGCGGGTGGCGGTGCCCGACAGACAGTGGGCCGCGCAGGCCTCGTAGGTCATGTTGGCCGCCGAGATGGACGCCGACCCTAGCGCCCGGCCCGCGGTGGCCTCGGTGTAGCAGCCCTGGTACACAAAGTCGGTGGCGGCCAGACGGGGCTTGGGCGCGGGCGGTCCCGTGCGCGCGCCGCTCTGCAGGTACACATTCAGGCGGTTGCCGGCACCGCAGAGCTCTGCGGCGTCACCCGCACAATACGTGGAGCAGTCCGTTTCCGCGGCCGGGACGCTGCCGGGGGCCAAAAAATTGCCGCAGTAGCACTGGTCGCCGTACTCGACGCCAAAGTAGGCGTAGTCGACACAGTAGCTGGCGCACTCCTCGTAGGACATGTCGTTGTTCGTTTGGGAAAGAGCCGCGAGAGCACGGCCGGCAGAGCCTTCGGTGTAGCAGCCCTGGTAGACCCAGTCGCCGACGGTTGGTTTGGCGGCGTGGCTGGCCGTGGTGGTGCTTGAGGCCAAGATTGAGGCCGAAGACACAGCGGCCGAGAGTGAAGACGTGATGATGGCGCTCAGGGACGCCGACGTGGCCGACGTCACGGCCGTCGAAGTGTTGCGCTGGTAGACGTTGAGGAGGAGGCTTCCACCACACAGTTCCGTCTTGTTGTCTGGCGGAGGTGTCTGGTCAGCATCTGAAGTAAGAGGGGCGGACTAGAATCAACTTACCATTGCATGCCATTGTGCAGGCCGTACCAGCGACTTGCAACGCAGCTGGATTGACTGCGTTGCCAACCCAGCACTAATATGTATCAGCATATCGTAAAGAGAATCAAGTTGGCAGAACATAAAAACGTACCTCGCCTCCATACTCGAGGCCAGCAAAGATGTAGCCACCGCTGACGGCCAGAGCGAGACATGTGTCGACGGTTTCCTTCGCGACGGTCAGCTGCTTGCCAAAGGCACGGCCGGTCGATGGCTCGTGCCAGCAGCCAATGTACTGGTAGCCGTCGACGCCCGGGTTGACAACGGGCCCTCCCGTAGGTGTGGATGACGGCATCGTTGAGCTTGTACTACCGGTACCAGTCATAGACGACGACGACGACGACGATGGCAGCACGGCCGTGCCGTTGAGCGTATAGACGTTGAGCAGGAGCGAGCCGCCACAGTACTCGGAGCCGTTGTTGTTGCACGTCATGGAGCACGTCGTTAGGTCGACCTCCGAAGCGCCGGTGTTCAGCGCGTTGCCGACCCAGCACTCGCCGCCGTACTCGAGACCGGCGTACGTGTAGCCGCCGACAGCCGCAGCCGCAAGACACGTGTCGACGGTCTGGTTCGAGATAGACAACTGGTTGGTGAGCGCACGGCCTGCGGATGGCTCGTGGTAGCAGCCGACGCTCACATAGCCGTGGTCGCCAAGGTTGACAACAGGCCCACCGGGAGGCGGTGTCGGATCGCTCGAGTTGCTGGCCCCGCCGACGGCGTACAGGGAAATGTAGGCACCACCGGCGTCCGTACCCACGCCATTGCCGCCGCAGATCTGGTCCAGGCTGCCCGAGCACGGGTAGTTGCAGTCGTTCTCAGACACCTGAAGGACGGGGATGGTGTTGCCGGCCCAACACTCGCTGTTGTACTGGGTTCCGCAGTACGTGTAGCTGCCGGCGGCGCAGGCGGCAATACACATGGCTGCTGTGTTGTTACTGCTGCTGTAGAGCTGTTTCTGCAGCTGGCGACCCGGGTTGTTCTCCTTGAAGCAGCCGACATAGCGATAGACGCCCTGGCCGTCGGCTTGCAAAGGCGGGGCCTGCTCGGCGACGGCCTCGCACGCGAACTGGATGTACTGCTTGTCCCAGGAGGGATCGTTGGTGTTCATGGTCCAGTTGGCGGTGCCGTAGTACGTGTCCGTGTTCCACTGCTCCTTGGGTACGGCGCAGTAGAGGCTGGCCGTGGCGCTTTCGCCGACCTTTAAGATGGTGCCCTCGGCGAGGTCGATCTGGTTGGCGGCTCCAATGATGCCGGCCACACCAAAGGGTGGCTTGGACACGGTGAGGGACAAGGGCACGGCGTCGGCGGTGCCGTTGTTGGTGACGCGCAGGAGCAGCGACCGCGACGTGTTCTCCGTGACGTTGCCAAAGGTGAAGTTCACATTCTTCTCGTACGTGACCCAGCCAAGGCCGTCGGCGGTCTGGAATTCGAGCAGACAGGTGGCACCAGGGCCGGCGTTGGCGTCGATCTCGAATGTCTGGTTGCCGCCGTTGGTCACAACTTGCACGAACAGTGTAAAATTGCCGCCGGCAGTGGGATCAAATGTGACCTCAATATTCTGGCCGCCGTTCGCGGCAATCGTCGAAGGGAGACCAGAGAAGGTAAAGTCACCAATCTGCGTGCCGTTTCCTGTAGTAGAACCTGTCACCCAAGGGCCCGTGGCGTTCGTTTCGGAGAAGAGGATGTCCGTGATGCTGAGGGTCGAGTTGCCAAGATTTCTGAAAATGACTGGCTCCTGGACGCCACCAGGCGTGGCACCAATGACGACGTTGGTGAATGTCAAGATAGGCGGCGAAACCGAGAACAGCGCGCCTGTACTGAGGCCAGTCCCCTGGAGTAGAATAGATGCAGTTGATGCGTAGCCAGTGACGCCGTTTTTGGTAGCAATTGACACGGTGCCGGTCAACAGGCCCACCGTGGTCGGCTTGAACGAGGCCGTAAAGGTGAATGTGCTTCCCTTGGCCAAGGTGGCGGGGAATGTGGTGGTCGACGTGATGGTAAAGTCGGGGCCGTCAAGCGTCAGCGACTTTACGGTCGTGGCAATGACGGCCGTGCAGGTGACCTGGGCAGTGGCGGCCGCGTGGGCAAGGTCCAGCATGCCAAAGTTGACTGGCGTCGTGCAGTTCAGCGGCGGCGTCGTGGGCGCGCCAAATCCATAGACATAGCCCTGCGTTGTGCCCATGTACATGCGGCCATCGCCGAAGACGGCGCGCGTGAACTTGGTGGTGCCGGGCACCGAGAAATTGCGTATCTCGGTAAGGTAGCCGTTCTGGGGAATGGCGTTGTAAATGCGTAGGTTGTTCCCCTGGACATCGGTCGTCCACAGCAGACCAGTGCCCTCTTCGCTGTTGAGCGACGTGACTGTTCCGTGGCTGACACCGAGAGTGTAAGCGTTGGACTCGGGGCTGTCAGCCACCTTGATGAACAACGGCACGCCGTTGACGCACGAGAACTGAAAGACGTGTGTGGGGTACTTGATCACGTTGATGTAAATGTAACCGCCACCGCCGTCCAGCGGATACACCCCGGCGCCGGCGTAAACCGAGTTCTCGTTCTGGTACACCTGGATGACGCGGTCGCCGTTGTTGGTGCCCGTGCGGTAGCCGCCTAGGTCGTCGAGGTTGAGGAAGTAGGTCTTGCCGCTCTTGCCCGTGATGACACCAATGTGCGTGATCGCACCACAGGAGAACGTGCTCGGCAGAAGCTCCAGAGGCGAGGTGCCCAGGTCCTTGTCGGCGCCGTCCAAGGCTTGCTTTTCCTGCGGCATAAAAAAGTCGACAAGTGTCACGGACCCGTCGTCGTTGAGTGTCATATGCACAGCGGCCTCCTCGAGCGAGGTGGGCGGATTGCGGCCCGCCACGGGAATGGTGCTGAGCTGCGAGGCGAAACCGTTGCCCGTGCCAAAGAAGAGCGAGCCCTGGTCGTCTGAGGCAAGGCCACCACCAGACATCCAGATACCACCGCCGGGCGTGGTGTTGGGCACGCCATCACCCTCCGTCGCGTACCGCTCAACGACGGTGCCGGTCGTCTTGTCGAAGCCCATGAGCCAGCCCGTAAAGTTGTACTGCACGCAGTGAGACGCGAAACCGGCGTAAATGTACTGGCCCGAGTGGAGCAGGGCAGGCCGCTGGTGGTGGATGCCGCCGTTGAAGCTGCGAATGGGGTTGTTGCGCGCGACAATGCCCTCGAGGTCCACCGGGAAGTTGGGACGCTCTGTCAGGTCGTTGACATTGAGAGCATGCAGGTAGTAGCGGCCGTTGGACTTTCCCTGGGCGCCGGTTCCTCCGTTTTGGTCGGCATACGTCTTCGCCATGTAGTACACCGTGTCGGTATCCGGGTCGATGACCCCCGTGGACGTGATGCCAATGAGGGGGTTGATGTCGACACAGCCATCCAGATCGGCTGTCAGAAACGGAACGGCCAAGTTGCGGGACAGGAGGATCTTGCCCGTCGTTGCATCCAGCTTGTAGACATTGTTTTGCGTAGTCGCAAAGTACACATACTGGCTGTTGTTGCCAGAGGGTGTGTAAACAAGGGGCTGTGAGAAGATCTGCTCTGATGCGCCGTTGTATTGGCCTGGGAGGGCCGTCTTGAAGATCTGGGCAAAGTCATTGCTGCCGACAATGGCCGGGTCCATGTTATGGCTTGTTTGATAGCCCGTTCGTGAGTTGTCACCACCCCATGTGATGGTGTCTGTTGATCCCAGTCCGCTGGTGAGCGGGACCAGGATCGACAGTGTCGCTGCGAGGATGGCCACGGCCGTCATTGTTTCTGTCCCCTCAGTCAAGGCAAATGCTAGAAACTAAACAAAACCGATACGGCCATCGACACTTGCTGGAAAATACCGAGGGCAAAACTATGCAAAGTATTCGTTAAGGCGTAGCCGGCATAAGTATCATGTCACGATGACAGTTGGGATTGATGCATGGGAAGGGATGGCGGGGACAAGTGGTAAATAAAGTAAAAACAAAAGTCAAGGTGAGTGGAAGGGACGAGAACAAGGGCATTGAGGATGCGAGTGAATCTTACTCCCACGAAAATGAGAGGCCAACGTGAATAATGCCTTTTTCCTGGGAATGATCAAGAAATGCTCCGTTTGTTAAACGAGTTCGTTGCCTTCCCTTTTCTTGGCTCGAGGTCTATGCCGGGCACCATGACCACAGGGAAGCCATGTCGTCTGCAATATTTTGAGAAAAGTAGTCTCGTGTATGGGAAGAAGTGGAGATAGAGGAAGAAATAGAAAAAAAAAAGTTAAAAAACAGAGCCGCCACTATGCCGTATGAACGAATTTGGACGAAGAATATGTAGTGAGCATAAATTTGAGAGGACGGCTTCAACAACGCCACCAACGCCCCGTAATCCCAAGAGTATGGACTCCGCTGCTTAACCCGCACAATGCTGTTCCTGGCAAGAGCTGTGGAAGGCGGCCGAAGGCAGGGTGAACAGGACGGGAGACGAATGGCAAAGCAAAAGAGGTAGAAGACAACTGTTGTTCTCGTGTTAGGTACCGGAAGGCAGGCTGCGATTTCGTTTCTCGATTTAGAACAGCGGTGCCTGTGATCCTTGTCGTATGTGCTGCTGTTCAGTCGTATGCCGACTTCCGTTAAGCTGAACCTACGGTAGGGTTTTTTTTTAATTTTTTTTTTTTTTTTCAAAAATCAAACGGTTCTGGCACCAGCAAGCCAATACTGCACCTCACGGACAAAAGAACGATGTGATGGGTCGTTTCCCGTAATTTCGGGTTCTTTCTGTTGTTCGTTCGAGCTACTCCGCCTACCCTGTCCTTGTCCTTTCTTGGTGGAGAAATGTAGAAGGCAGAGAGGTGATTAATACGTCGTAGGTTTAGTGCTCACGACGCACTGTAACATTCGACCCCGGCCTCAAGCCTCCTGCTTGCAGACTGAGGTGCACGTTTTTGATGCTTGCCAACCACTGAGAATTGTTAGTCTTTGAGGATTGCATTGTGCCCTAAAGATCGAATTTTTTGGTGTTGTCGAACCGGACAAGTCGGCAGCACAGCACGCCGTTCCGAATTATTTTTATTTCCTATTTGTCCGTCGGTCACAGCTAGATGCAGTGTCGGGCGCCGTATTGTTGTGTTCCGAGGATGTCGAGGTGCTATCCCTTTAGCTACTTCGAGAGCTCCCCTGCCGGCGCACATATACCCTGCCTTGGCTGTTTGTCACGTTCTCAGCTTTGCTTTGGCCGTTTGCTGCCGCCGTGGGCGCTTCCCCGGACTGATGGGTGTGTAGTTCGCAAGCAACCCGCAGGGCTGAAGCTCATTTCAAAGTTGTGTTCCGATCGTGTACGCGTGTCCGTGGGTGTCCAGGACAGTTTCGATACCGCAGCATGGCAGCAGTGTTACCTGCTATCTGTCGTCGTTTAGGTAAGTGTCGTGAGAAGAAGAATGCAAGCTTTTGTTGCTCTCGATTTTTGGGTCGATTTGACGTCGCGCGCACGCAAAACGTGACTTCCTCCAAGATTCGTTTGTTAAGGGCATCGCCCCTTCTCCGTGTACATATAAATTGCTGTCTTTCCGTTGCCATTTCCCTGGCCCGCCTGTCAAAATGGGAAGGAGCATTGTGTCTCTCCTGCCCTGTCGATGCCCTTTCTCCTTGGCTGCCAGCAATCTAAATTGAATGGCAGGTGCGAGCGACCGTCAGCAGCCATCGGAAAAATCGACGCCCAGTTCAAGCCGCCTTGTGGAACCGTTTTTGGGAATGGAAAAGGTAATTGATTAAAAAAGGAAACAGCTCTCAAGCCGGGTCGAGCCAGGGAAAGTGCATTCGTATGCACAATGCCAGCGTGCGGCGTCGTAGCTTCCCTTGGTTTCTGACTTTCCTTTTTGGGACAATGCCTTCCTCAGGGCGTCCGGCTCTCCCCTTTTCCCTGTTTTCAACATCTCGTGATATTTCCTGTGGCGTTTTACGTTTTCGCACTTTACCACCTCCCCAAGGCTCAAATCAGTGTCGACGCGAATACCAGGGACTTTGACATTTCGCTTTCGCCTGCCCCCCGTTGCCAGCGTTATTCAGAACAGGGGCCAGACGAAAACCAAGACATCGGATGACAGCCCGACAAACGACCACCCAGCAACAAACAGTAAACAACACCTCACAGTATCAGAGACACGTCCAAGTACAGTCGGTGGGTTGCACACGCGACATGGCCATGTCGCACAAGAGCCAATATCACTGCGAAAGCCAAGAATCCAAGCCAGTCGGGCGAACGAGCTGACACGCCGCCCTCCAGTTGCTGGCGCGGAGTATTTGCCAGCCCGCCACCAATTTTATGGGGCAGTCTGCACTCGATTTCTTACCAACGGAGCAATACAGTTCCCATTGGTGAACTGGACGACTCATGTTAAGGTGTCTTCCATAGAAGGAATTGATCAGGCTATTTGCAAACCCCTGCTACAATTGGGTCTCCAGCGTCCTCCATGCTAACTGTGCTTTCACAGTCTGCAGGCGGCCATTCACCAAAGCCAATAAGTTTCTCTCGAGTTCGCCAAAACGAGCGTCTCAAAACCGAGAGACGCAGCTCTGCTACGGTGAACCAGCCCGAAACGAGAAACACACTGACGAGAGACATCAAGACGGCCGTGTTGTTGCCGACCTGTGCTCACCTAGCCGCCAGCCGGCAATTGTTTGTTTCCGTGTTGTTCTCGCAGGCCACGCTTTTCTGTTTGGGCCGTGATTGGCTACCACATTGGCGGCATGCGCTTGCTGGGGGTAGATAGATGTAAGGCAGTGTCCGACGGAACCTCGCGATATCACGGCGAAACATAACACCGACGATCCCAAAAGGATGCGAGGAAAGAAACAACGTGGCCGCCTTGTGGGGCGGACGAAACCTGCGTCAACCACCCCAAATGCTACCCAGATTCACCACAGGACGATGTCGAGTTCGTGAGCGGCCAGGATGAACTCGAAAAGAGCCGTGTCGCAGGACTGGATTTATTTATGCATCGAAGCAGCACAAGATAATGGGCTATACTGTATGGGTCGAGGCGTTCCACCGCGGCATAGACACGACCGGAAATCGATAGACCACACAGCATACGTGTGATTGCATGAATATAAATTGTTCCACGACTAACGAATGGAAGAAACAGAAAAGACGAAATAACTTTCACAGCTTGACGAACACGTTACTGACCAAAGAAACCCCAAAACATATCACCCAAGCGGCGCCTCTTTGCCGGCGGCGGTCCACGTGCCGCCTTGCGTCCCGACGAGGAAAAGACCCGAACTGAGCCTCCGGCCAGTGGAACGTTTCCGCCGCCGCCGCCGTCACCACCACCATTACCTCCACCACCATTACCACCACCACCATTACCACCGCCACCATTTCCACCACCACCGTCACCACCTCCACTGCCGCCGCCATTGCCAGCGGCAGGTGCTACTGGTGCTGTTGAAAGTGCTCCTGGTGCTACTGGTGCTGTTGAAGGTGCTCCTGTTGCTCCTGGTGCTACTGGTGCTCCCGGTGCTCCCGGTGCTCCTGTCGCTCCTGGTGCTGCTGCTGCTCCTGGTGCTCCTGTTGCTCCTGTTGCTCCTGTTGCTCCTGCGGGTGCGGTGAGTGCTGCTGCAGTGGACCCAGAGGCGTTACCAGGCACAGGCGCTGCCACAGACGCAACTCCGTTTCCACCACCACCCGTAGGTGTTGCCGAAGATGTCGAACCGCCGCCTGTCGCAGCCGCCGCGGCCGATGACGAGGAGTCACCCGTGCCCGTTTGCCCTGCTCCTGATGCCGAAGGTGCCGCCGCTGCTCGCCCATTGCCGTGAGAATCCCCATCATTAATGGTGATTGGCCGACTCGCAGAATCGCCTCTGCCGTCGTTGCCGCTGGCGTCTCCATCCCGGTCCACGTACAGGATATCGTCGCCGTCTTCATCGCTGAAGATGCCTCTGGGAAGCCGCGCGACGCGGCGCGGCGGACCGTGGTCGGGAATGCGCACATCTTTGTTCGCATTTTGTCGCCACAGCCGCTCGTCGACCTCCCGATTCACCGGCCGGGGATGCGGGTCGGGGGCGTTGCCGCGAGTGCGGCCCATGAACAGGGCATACTGGCCGGGTACATTCAGCGGCAGCTGGTATGTGCGTTCGCCGGTCGGCTTGTCGACGACAAACGTTTCGACCCACTTCTCGTAGACGAGCAGCACGGGGTCGAACCAGTCGCCGCTGCCGTTGTTGGGGTGGTACGCGGGGTCGCGCGAGGTGTTGACGATGCGCGTGAACGGGACGCCGGGCACGAGGCGGTCGTCGTTGATGCGCGCCCAGCCGCTGTCAGTGCTCTCAATGGCCATGTAGCGCATGCTGTTTTGCTCACGGCGGCGGGCGGCCTCGGCGGGTGTTAGTAGCACGTCCCGGCGGCCCTGGTTTTCGACGCGGATGGTCTCGGACAGCTGATGGCTTGCGTTGGCAATGTTCTTCTTGCGCTCGGCCGACTCGCGCACGAGACGCTCGACCTCGTCTGCGTCGTACACGGGCGCGCCGGCCGGTCGACTGACCGTGGACGTCAAGGCGGCGAGGCGGTCGTCGCGCACGTAGCTGACATAGTGGCCCGACTGGGCGCTGTCGCCGGCATGACTAACGACAGCGGCGAGGCGGTAGAGGATGCGCGTGCCCGGGGCAAAGATGTGTGTCTCGAGGTAGCGCGAGACGTCCAGAAACTCGGGCGCGTCGACAATGTCGCTGGTCTTGAACGTCCGCTGCTGCGTGCGGTCGTACCCCGTGCGCGCCAGGTGGATGTTGAGCACCTCGGGCGCAGTCTGCATGCGGCGCATCCTCCGCAGGGTGCGCGGCGTCTGGCCGCAGCGGTTGCACGTCTGGCCCTCGACGTCCTCGTTGAAAAACTTGTGGAGCAGTTTCATCAGGCCGTCACGGCCTTCGAGGCGCCTCGGCCCGCCGCCGTTGCCCGGTGCAGCCGCCGCAGCCGCCGCAGTCGAACGCCCCGCCTCGGCCACAGGAAGGACGATGCTGGGCGCCCGCTCGATGCGCTCGCCGCGCAGACGCACGGGGCGCTTGCACATGGTGCAGAGGAACCGGTCTGTAATGTAGGTGCGGAACATGCAGTCGTAGTACTCGCTGGCGCGGCTGGCGCTGTACCGCCGCGGCGCGCTGTACAGCTGCGTGGCGGCCATCTCGACGAGCCACCCCAGGAACTCGGCGGCGTCCTGCTGCTGGCTGGTCAGGTCGACCGCGCCCACGCTGGGCATGTTCAAGAAGTTGGCGGCGAACTGGTCCGCCTGCTGCTGGCACAGGTCGTGCCAGCTCAGCGTGACAAAGTTGTCGTCGTGCTGGCCCGGCGGCCCCGTCCCGTCCGGCCGGCGCCGCTCGCCGTCGGCCACGTTGAGCGTGCTGGCCCAGGGCGTGCCTGTGAGGTCGTACTTGCACGCGCGCCAGAACAGCGTCAGCATTTTCTCGTACGAGTCACTGCCGCTTGCTGCACTGCCGTCGCGGCGCCGCTTGTCGCCGGCCGTGGGCGGGTACAAGCGCGACCTCGCGCTCGGGCCCGGATTCAGGTCGGGCCCGTTGTCGGCGCCCATTGCATCCGACATGGGATGCACACCATCGCGCTCCCAGTAGGCGACGGCCAGGTGGTACAGTCGTGTTAGCAGGTGGTGGTTGACGTCGGGGCACTGCATGTACGTCCGGATGTTGCGGCCGTGCACGTACAAAAACGACAGGAACCGCGGCGTGTTGAGCAGGGCCGTCACCACGGCGTTGCGGTAGCAGAGGTTGCTCGGGTTGCGCAGCCCGCGCGGCGCCATCGTCGGCCGCCGCATCGGCGTCAGCATATCCTGGCGCAGCTCCGCCAGAAACTCGGGACGGGGCTTCCGCGGCGGCTCGAACGCAGGGCCCGCCGAGGGCAGCTCGATCGTGTGGTAGTTGTCGCCGCGGCTGGCGGCGTTGGGGTCGACCCCCTGCGGCTCGTGACCCTGCTGGTACTCGGGCTGGTCGATGCCCTCAGCCAGAAAGTACCGGTGGGCCTGCCATTTGGCGGCGTGAATGTTCGCCTCGCGCTGCTGGCCATATGCTTGGCGCATTTGCAGGAGTTCATCGATCTCACCGTCCTCAAGGCCGGCTCTCTTGGACCGGGCGACTTTGAGCGTCTCGTCCCAGAGGTCGTCCATGTCCTGGATGGCGCTGCGCTCAAACTCGTTCCACTGCTTGTCCTTCCTCATTTCTGCAAGAAATAGCCTCCGAGACTGAATTTCTCTGCGCCTTCTCTCATTGGCAGCATCGTCGAGATGCTGTACGTGGGCAGAAGCGGAGGCAGGCGCCGCAACTGCAGCCGGAGCCGCTGCCGGAGCCACAGCCGGTGCGGGAGCGGGATTGTGCGTGTTGGCAGCAGCTTGGGCAGAACCAGACGCAGGAGCATGACCTGATGTAGCACTGGGAGTTTGTCCCGGAGCACTGGCGGAAGCGCTTCCGGGCGTCGCTGTTTGCGTTGGTGTGGCTCCTGCCCCAGCTCCCGCTCCGGCTCTCGCCCGGGCTGCCGCTGCCGCTGCCGCTGCCGCAACGTAACTCGCATTGTTCGTAACGACTTGTTGTGCGAGAGGCGAGCTGTTCTTTGGCCTATGGAGGTGGGCAATGTTCTTGTTGATCGCTGGAGCCGTGATGGGGGTGGCTGCTGTGTTGGCGGTAGCGCCTGCTGCGGAACTCGGTGCCGGCTGTGCGCCTGTTGCCACGGCATGACTTGGCCCCGATGCAGGAGCACCGGTAGCCTGAGATGGGGAAGCAGTCTGCTGGGCTGGTTGCTGACCAGATTGTTGCCCACTAGGTTGAATGGCAGGTTGAATGGCAGGCTGGGAAACAGGCTGGGCAACTGGCTGTACGACGGGCTGAACGGTAGGCTGGGTGGCAGGCTGGATGACAGGTTGACCAGACGATTGAGATTGATTGCCAGCTGTTGTTGCTGGATTGACTTGAGGGTTGAGTTGGGCATTTGGAGGAGGGTTGACTGGGTTCACAGGCGGATTGACTGGCGGGTTGACTGGTAGAGGTGCTCCTGGAGTTGCTCCTGGATGTCCTCCTGGATGTCCTCCTGGATGTCCTCCTGGATTTGGCGCAGCATTATTTGCCGCAGCATTGTTTCCGTCGCCGTCGGCCATGACTTGCAAATTCAAGGTGCGGCGAGACGTACGTTTATTGTGGGACTGTGAGCGTAAGTGAATGCGCAGAGGGATTGAGCTGCGACGTGAATGAAGACAAATCGACGTAGATGAGTGAATGAAAATTTTATGTAAATCACAAACAGATGAGATGCAAAGACAAGGCTCGGGTGAATACGTGGGCATTAAAATAAATTTATTTCCTGCCATTTTTGTCTCTCCTCTCCGTTCGCCTGTCGCATTTGACGTTCTCTGAAGCGACCGCATTGGGTTCGGTGGTCTGTTGATGCGAACAAAGGCGCAAACCAACAAGGCGGTCCGGAAACGGCATTCGATCTGTTTTCATTCACGACAGCCATACGATTGAATCGGGACAAGTCCAATTCGGGTTGAAGGCATTCGTGTTGAAAGGGACATAAACGATTTTGAACAAAGAAACTGTGTTGGCAGACTTAAAAGGAATGAGAACCAAGAGGTTCAGGGTCGGTGTGAAAGGAAAACACGGCGCGTCGTAAGGAGGGTTCATTGACGACTCTTCGCATTTCTCGCGGCGTGCAGGTCGCAAATTAGTTTAAAATGAGGAAAGTGTGACAAATAAATAACATAAAACACAAATACAAGTACAAGTGCAAATACAAATACAGATAAACAAATCTAATTCGCGATATAGTAAAACAGTCTAAGTAGCGTTAAAAGTAAACGAGAACCGCATCCCAAAAGCAAGGCAATCTAATGAAAAATATACGTACAGTAACAAAAACAAAACAAAACAAGACAAACAAAACAGGACAACCCCCATCAACGTCTACAACATCCGCGGCCGTGAATCATAAATATGCAAACCAATAACCGACACCGAGCAAATACTTCGTCACCATCTCCGCCACGACAACAAAACAAACCTCATCACCTCCCTCTCCACCACCTCCCTCTCCACCACACCTCTCTAGCATCCGCCTCGTCTCGACTTCCATCACTCCCCTCCGTTACACATAGTGCCACGTTCCGCGGCGCATCTTGATGAGCTGCACCACACCCTCAATGCCAATGCCAAACTCCATCAGCATCAGCGTGTACATGCCGATGAGGATCGGCACCGACAAGCCGTAGGTCAGCTGGGGCGACTCGTTGATGGCCCAGGCCGTCAAGAACCCGCTGGCCACGGCGGTGCCCGCGCCCAGCACGATGCCGTCGTACATGATGCGCAGGTGCGGGTGGTGGCGCCGGCCGCGGAGGACGATGAGGTACAGGTCGAACAGGGAGACGCCCCAGACGGTAAAGCCGGGCGTCAGCATCGGGTTGAGCCACTTGCCGCGGTCATAGTGAATCTCAGCGACGAGGGAGAGGGCGAGCAGGACAAGTGGCACGATGGCATTGATGACGCGGGCGACAATGTAATACGGGACGGTCGGGACGCCGTTGATCTCGCGGGCGGCGGCGTCGTAGTAGCAGGGGTCAGAGCGACGCTGGGCCGGAGCTGGGTCCGGGGCGGGGATGGCGGCTTCGGCTGTGGCGTTGTCTCTGACGGGACCAGACGAGGTCGACGTGCGCGCGGAGTCAAACTCCTCCTTGGTGATGGACGAAGGCATGGCGGAGGATGTGCTGTAGCGGTTCTTCGGGAGTACTGCCAAAAGCATGGAAGATGGACAAAACTTGGGAACAATGGAATGGAGTTTGTTCGATATTGAGCAGATGATATTGAGCAGAAGATATAAGCAGAAATATGAGCAGGAGATGTTTGCCAGTACAAAAGATATGGTTGACTGATGCTTCTTTTCTTTCTCTCCGTCAAGTCAAGGCGTTTGTCGACTTATGTACTCCTCGTCCTCAAGTGATGCATGTGTTGAACGAACACGCCAGGTGCTATGCGGGCAGAAGGTCGAGACAGCAACATAAGATCGGCATAACGAATAACGAAAAGAAAAGAAGGCTGTGCTCGAATTCAGACTTTTCAACATCGTCGCCTTTTCAACACATTCGACTCTATCAACGGGCATCAACGACGGGCAATACATAACACAACAAGACTAAACCCAAACCAGCTCTGTTAGTCTCCATCAAACACAAAACCGTCGGCAGTCTATGGCTGTGGACTGAACCCGAAAAACGAGACATTGACGCCCTGCGCCGCTAGCCTGCAGTGCCCCCATAGTCTCGGCTCGCATATCGTATTTCGTGTTCTTGCAAGTGGGTCCTAAGGGTCCGGCGCATCAAATAAGAAGAGCCAAGCTCCAAGCTTTCTATGTCTTGGGGCGTTCCCCGACCAATGGGAATGGTGCACCATGAACGATGCCTTGTGAGGCGTTCTGGACATTTTGTGGCGCACTGCAGAGTATCTTGGCTTTCGACAAGTTGAACACTGCACGGCCATTATCCCTTGGCGCGATGTCACTATTGGCCGTTCTTAATTCATAGTTTCTTATTTCATACCCCTGTACAATATGGTCGATGGCCTCGCGAGAGTCAGAATCGTAACTTTACTAGAACCAGGGGCATCTTACGGGATCCTGTGTTCCCTCATATCTATGACCGTACGTGGAAATTGAGGCTGTTTTAGAGGTTTATGTGGGATTGCTGCTGTTTCAGAAACGTTGCGATGCGGTTTGCGGTCACGGAGCGCACAATGAGTACTCTCATTTTTAACCGTTGTCTTTTTCCAAAGTAGTTTCTTTTCTATGATTTTATCCCGTTTAATCACTTGCGTTTTGTTTCACCGGTCTGGGACGCTGTCCTAAACTTTCCGCCGTAGATTCCTGCTTGACGGCCGCATGGACCATTAGAGCCGCACCGACAACACTCCCGTCACGGCAGAAACCGGTACGAATCCGGGCATCTCCAGCCGGACCGATGCCGGCAACTTGGCGCAAGGCGACCCGCATGTCTTTCTCGAAAGTCGGATGAAATTCAATGACGGAGCCGGTCATGCCGATGTCAATCATGGGCAGGGACGACGGCAAGACCGACGGCGAGGGTGATGTCGACGGTGACGGCGAGGGTGGCTGCAGTAAAGACAGAGCTGGTTTTGTTTCTGCCTTTGGACGGCGGCCGAAACACAAAGCAAATGGCGCCAACAGGATGCGGCGTGCTTTGCCAAAGATAGAGGACAGACTCCTCTTCGAGGCAGATGTTGGTACAGTCGTGGCCATGCCTTGCACGGCTATTGTCATGATTTGTTTCTCCCCCTGCTTCTCCTCCGAAATCGCTCCGTCAGTCGACAAAAGGCCAGACTGCAGCACAATGGCCCCTGTGGCCGCGCCAATCAGCCGTGCGGCGCGCGTGACAATGGCGGCAGATAGACGCTGAAATATGCACACATCAGCAGCCGAGACACCGGCGGCGCCCAGCGTGTCGGCCAGCAGCTGAATTGCCGTGGCCATGCAGGCATCGTCGTCGCCTTCAAGAGAAGCTAGACCAGACAGAAGCGACGCATCGATGCTCTCTTTCTGGAACAGGGGGGCGTCTGCGTCTGGCACGCGCAAGTCGAAGACACCCTTGCCGTACAGCTCGACCGCGGCCAGCCGCAAGAGCTCGCCCAAGTACATGCCCGACACCCGCTTCTCCAGCATCTGGAGGCCGCCGTCCGTCGACTGTGCATCGACCATGTCGTCGAAGCGCGTCCGCGGCAGCACGCGCATGCCGTCGTCCATGCAGCCCCATTCGGTGTTCATGGCCACGACGGCCGTCTGGGCGGCCCTGTGGTCGGCCCTGTGGTCGGCCCCGTGGTTCCGCTGTACATTTTGCCGCTTCTCGACGTACGCAGCGTTGGTGCCGGTGCCGACAATGACGCAGGTCAGGGTGGTGACGCCTGGACCGGATGACGTGTACGCGCGCGTCAGGAGAGACCCGACGCTGTCGTTGGCGAGGGCCGCCACGTGCACCGGCAGCCTCTGTGCATCGGTCGCCGCCTGCAGCATCGCGCAGGGGTCGCGGCCCAAGGCGCTGGGGATGTCCCAGCCCTTGTCCCAGTGCAGCAGCGTGCCGGCGGCGAGCGACGTCTGTGTGCAGGTGAAGGAAAATGTGAAACCAAGGGATAGCGCTGCCTTTTGGGCGGCATCCGGACCGAGCGCCTGCCGCGCTCGCAGAAACTCGCCAATCTGCGTGGCCACCCAGTCAAAGAGTGGCTCATGCCGTGCGTTGACGCGCACATGATGGGGCACCGTGTGCTTCTGTTGCTCGATGGAAAATGTGCCGTCGCCGTGCAGGTCCACCAGACTTATACGGCAGTTGGTGCCGCCGAGGTCGACGGACAGAAAGCGGCCCTTTTCGGAGCCGTCGGGGATGGCGGTGACAAACGATGGGTGCTGGAAGGGAAGGCGGTCGTCGCGGAGGCCGGACTCTGGAATGCGAATCTCTGTTAGTCCGTACTCATCCATGTACCGCAGCTCCCTGAATAGACATACTCAGCTGTTGCAGCAAATAGTCTGCTGTCACGCGGATGTCATCGGACGAAAACGCAAACGATGCAACAATATCGTCGACGGATGATGCATCAGGGGAGGTCATGGTCGGGAATGATTGCAGTCTCAATCACACAATCACATACGCCCAGCACAGTGAAGACGCAAAGATAAAACAAACAGGCGCAGACATGGCCAAAAGCAGACGGAGTGACACTTTATGAAGAGGACTCTTTGGGTAATCCACAATCATGAAGGCGAAAGAATAGGGCGCGCGTAATCGAACACGGCCCGAGCTAGCTGGATGTCGTGCGCAAGCCATTCCACACAAACACGGTAGCAGTCCACAGGAGTACATGACCCAGGCCAAACGACTATTTTCTCGTTGAAAATGGAGAACAACCCATAAACCGGTGTAAGACGACAAATTTGGTTTGGATGACCGGCCGGCAAAGCGCGGAACTACCCGGCTATAGCGGGGAATGCCGGCGATTGTGCCGCATTTACCAAAAGAGGAAGGTATCTTTTAGACTGGTTAAATCACAATCGAGCACTCCACCGAGAAACACCGACAATCACCGGAAAACGCCCCTCTGCCAGGTTACATCTCCAAGACACGCCGATCGTCCGCCGTACTTTGCCGTCTTACAACAATCTCGCCCAACAGTAGAGACATGATTGACCCAAGGCAAACGCACGGAAACCCACAGACACCCGCTGCCAGACGACGTGTCCCGCGCAAACACGGAAACATTGCCGTGCACCACGCACAATACACCAATGGCCTCACACACCACGGCCCAGTCCAACAAGCGGCCCCGCGTGTCGTTCGGGCCGGATGGACGGCCTCTCTCTACATCCTGGCCGGGCCGAGATCGTGCGCCGTCCGTAGACGCCGCCGAGCGCCGCCACGTGCCAAAGGCGAAGAAGGCCTGTATCAACTGCCGTAGCCAAAAGATGCGCTGCGTGCCCAGCGACGATGACCCGCGCACGTGCCGGCGTTGTCAGCGGACCGCCGTGCCGTGCACGTTTGTGCCGCGTGCCAACGCCGCGGTCCTGCCGTCGCAGCCGTTGATGCCGTCCATGTCGCCGCCCACAGCCACAGGATCCTTGGATGGCCCCTTCAAGAGCGACGTGCTGCGGCGGTTGCGCGCCGTCGAAGAGTACCTGGGTCTCGGGTCGTTGTCCACAGCAGCCACAGCCGGGCCTGTGGACGCAGCACCCCCGGTGGAGGGTGCCGAGGGACACGATGCAGCGGCCAACGGCGTAGACTCGGACATGGACGACGAAGACGTGTCGGACCTGCCTCCCACCTACGCATCGCTCGGCGCGCTGTGGCAGGCGGTGGGCGTTCTCCGGGCCACCGCGCCGGCGTCCACGCCGCGGCGCCTTTGGACGAAGCGCACAGTCGGCGCGCTGTGGCTGGCGTTCCACGACCGCATGCCCGGGCTGCACTTTATGCCGCGCAAGCAGATTTTCTCGGTGCCGCAGCCGCTGCTGCTGGCGTCCATCTTGTTCTGCTCGAGCGTCCGCGGGCCGGCCGAGACGGCGGCGGATCTCGCGCCGCACTACTATGCGGTGCTCTGCAACGCCATTGCGCAGCTCAGCATCCCGGACAGCACCATGGGACGGCCGCACCCGCCGACGGACGGCGGGCTGGCGGGCGCGACGGACGCCGACGAAGAGTGGGCCTTTCAGACCGTGCTGGGGATTGTCCTGGCGGGCCTGCTGACGGAGGCGAGCAACCGCGTTGTCGGGCTGTGGATCTCGGTGGCGCACCGGCTGATCCTCGAGCACTGCCCGTCGTCGCTGGCGGACGGTGAGGGCCCCGGTGGTGGCGGTGGCGGAGACGACGACCGCCGCGAGTGGCGCAAGCTGTTCAGCGGCGTGCAGATTATCGATCTCGAGCACGCGTCGCTGCACCTCAGCTGCCCTGTCATTCCGATTGAAAGCCCGCTGCCGGCACTGCACGTGGGATACCGCGACCCACTGTACCGCCTGAGCCGCATGATGCACACGGGGCTGACGCATTTCACCGGACGGGGGCTGCCGACCATCTGGTCCGTCTTTACGAGCGATGCCGGCGCCTCCACGCGAAGCACCGGCGGGGCCAGTACGCCTCCATTTACGGCCATTGACGCCGCCGTGATCCGTGACTGGGCTCGCCAGCTCGACGACTGGCTGGTCGAGTTTAGCCGCAGCACGCCGCAGCTGGCCACGCTGGTCGCCGCCAGCACAAGCACAAGCACAGGCACAAACACGACCGCCGACACAAGGACAAGCACAACCGACACATCGGCGGTGACGGAGCACCGGCGCCTCGTGTTCCGGCAGTACGTGCTGCACCGGCTGGTGGTGCTGAGCATCTACCACCCGGCGCGCGGGTGCGATCTGTGGAGCAACAGCATCACGCCGCAAGAACAGCACGAGCTGCTGCTAAGCGCGCGGGCGACCCTGAAGCTGTACCAGCACGACGACAGCATCTGGTCCAACTGGGACCTGGTGATGATTACCTGGGCAGCGCTGATTGTCCTTCAGGGGGTGGAAGGGGGCGTTGGCGAGGTGGACGGTATGTTATACTGAAATGAAGGTGAAAACAATCAAGTTCAAGGACAACAGTAAAGCAGCCATGTCTAACAAAAACAGATCTACAAAACATCCAGGTCCATCTCACGATGCTCAAGCAATTCTACGAGCCAAAGTCGCCCATGTGCGGCCGCCTGATTGCACGCCTCGAGGCGAGCCTCCAGGGCGTCCACACTCCGGTGGCGCCGGGTCCACAGCAGCAGTACAACAATGCACAGCAACCGCCGCCAAACCAAAGCCAGTTCCAGGCGCCACAGCCGTCCTTTCTCGACCGCACATCGTCGGGCCTCGGCTACCAGTCGTGGCACATCTTTGACCAGGCCAGTCTGGAGCACATTGGCTATCCAGAGTGGTCCATTTTGCGGCAGTAGACACACTTCGATGGTCCCAATCGAACAGCGAACAACAGGTCGTTGTGTTCACTGCCGCATGAGTGCAAACGGAATCGTCGCCGAGCGCACAGCCAACATCTTGGGGCTGCCGATGCGGGAGGACATGCTGTCTGGGGTCAGCTCGCCGTTCTCGGCCGCCATGGCCGCGACAGCCGTGTCCAGTCGCGGCGGCGTCTGTACGGCCCGCGGCAGCCCAGGCTGTGACGCCCTCTGCACCGTCTGCTCGACGCCGCGGAAGTACTGCACGTGTGTTAGCGGTAGACAGGGCATCGAACGTATTGCATCGTCTACTGGCGGCCACCTACGTTGATCGTCTTCACCTTGCACTCCACGGTGGCCTCGTCGTCGACCACCACCAGACTGCGCGGGTGCAGCTGCAGGCTGCTCAGCGTGCACATGTGGCTCACGCCGCCCTCGACCGCCTGCTGCACCGCCAGCGCCTTGCGCGCCCCGGTGGCGATGACCACGACCTCGCGCGCGTCCAGCACCGTGGCCACGCCGACCGTCAGGGCCATCCGGGGCACGGCGTCCACGTCGGCGTCCCCGCCCCCAAAGAAGCGCGCATTCGCCCGCCGCGTCTCGGGCGCCAGCGACTTGATGCGCGTGCGCGACGCCAGCGACGACCCCGGCTCGTTAAAGGCAATGTGGCCGTCGCTGCCGACGCCGCCCAGGAACAGCTCGATGCCGCCGACGGCGCGGATGGCCGCCTCGTAGCGTGCACACTCGCCCGCGTAGTCGCCGCCGGGCGGGTTGCCGTCAAGGATGTGCACGTGGTCGGCCGGGATGTCGATGTGGCGGAACAGGTGGGCGAACATGAAGCTGTGGTACGACTGTGGGTGGTCGCGCGGCAGGGCCACGTACTCGTCCATGTTGAACGTCACGACGTGGCGGAAGGAGACGCGGCCGGCGGTGTAGGCGGCGACCAGGAAGCGGTAGATGAGCAGCGGGCTGGAGCCGGTGGGCAGGCCGAGCACAAATGGCCGCTCGGCCGACGGCGCAAAGGCATTGATGCGGTCTGCTGTGAGTGAGCGCTCACTTTGGCGGGCCTAGTGAACAGACTCACCAACGATGTAGTCCGCCACATAGCTGGAGGCCGCTTCGGGGTCAGGCCGGACAAGAAGGCGCATTTTGGCAAAGGTGTGTTTTGTTGGCAACGGTCTATCTGTGGTCCACGTATAATCGTTGTGTTTTGTGTTCGAATTATATCTGGTTCTTGTGTGAATTCCGAGTCTGGATCTGTTGAATATTGTTGACTGTCGTCCGGATCGCCGACTGTTCCCGGACCGTCGATATCCCAAAGAAGTAATACGCAACTGCAGCCGCTCTTGGCCGCTTCGCCGTCTTTTGCCGTTTGTGGTGTGAAGATCGAAGTGGATCTTGCGTCACCTGCCGGCCATCACCGGCGGGTTTGCCGGGCTGCATTTGCATGTATGCGCGATCCTGGACGATCTGCATTGCACTCCATCACATCCATCACGAGCCTCGGGAAAGACAACGTTACCGGTGTCGTCGGCGATGCGACCATGCCGCTACAACGGTCCTTCGCGGGCTCTACTTCCCCACTACTACGAGGAGCTTAGAACTACCGACTGATCTGCAGAGCATGTGTGTGTAGTAGCTCGACCTGTGAGTTTCCGATATTCGAGGTTCCGATTCACTGATCACGTCAGACAAAGAAATAGAAAAGAAAAGGTCTCTATGGTCGTCAATGTGGCCCATGTTGCAGCGCTTGGTTACTCGGTGGCATCGTATCTGAACTTTACACTATTTCCGCTTCATCTATCAAGCCAAGTCTCGCGAGCGTCCAGAGCCACGCTCCGGCAATGTCCGCCACGTAGACAATCTGACCTTATAAGTGTCTGCAGGTCCAATGCCGTCTGAACGAAGATGTTCTACCAAGACATGACATTTCTGGACAACTTCTACGATCCAGTCGCCGGCCGCCTGTATAACTTTTAATACCCTTTCCATCGGTGTGTTTATTTTTCATGTCGGACACGACAACTCCATAACCGTCGTCGACCGCTCGCCCAACCTCGGCAAAGCCTACCGGCGTCCCCAGATCGTCTCTCGCAACGGTATCTGCGCCTTGGTAATCTGGGGGTGGGGTCGAAGCTGAGCAACATCCACGGACAAGGATCGTGGAGACTACGAATCCTCTGCTCGGCAATCCGGTGAAACCGGTCTTCTTTGCCGGTATCTACAACACCTCCACAACAGAACGAAGCCAAGTGGGTCGACCCCGACTTTACCTCCCAGTCTAATCAGTAAGTCCGTTCCAAACCTGGAGTCGGTTGGTCGCATGTACTGCGGTCGCGTGCAGTCATCCTTCTTCCTTGCTCGTTTGATATAAAGGCTTGTGGGATGGCGATCTTATTGTCCCTGCCTGTCTGGCCCTCCCTCCCTTCTCATCTTTTCATTTTCCTTTTCTGCCGTCTCGGACGCCATCTTCTATTCCCTGCATCCACAGTCGGCGATAACGCACCATGACTGACACAAAGATGGACGGTGCCGCCGTCGCGGCCACGGCCATCGACACGCCCGTGGACACGCCCGTGGACACGGCCGCCGGCCATGTTCTTGATGCCAATGCGCCCCACGATGCCCATCTGCCGTTCCGCGCGGCACTGCGGCTGCACGCCAAGGCCGTGGCGTGGTCGGCGTACGTGTCGATTGGCGTCATCATGCTTGCCTTTGACCCGCAGCTGCTGGGCAACCTGTACGCAATGAAGCAGTTTACCAATGACTTTGGCGAGCTCAGCAATGGCGAGGTGAGTCACGTACGAGAATGCGGGCATGACGTCGGATGAGTCGCGTGAATGCAGCTAACAGAACAGTATGTCATATGTACGTTCAATCTCGAATACCGGCCCCGTCTCCTATCGATCTTACCAAGCCTAACCTCTTAGCTGCCGCATGGCAAACCGGCCTCAGCATGGGCAACCCCGTGGGCCAGGTCGTCGGCGCCATCTGGGCCGCGTACCCGATGGAGTGGTACGGCCGCAAAAAGACCTTTGCGGCCTGCGTCGTCCTGACGGCCGGCCTCATCTTCATCCAGTTCTTTGCGCGGTCGCTGAACGTGCTGCTGGTCGGCGAGCTGCTGGGCGGCATCGTCCTGGGCATGTACGTCGTCATCGCGCCGGCCTACGCCTCGGAGGTGTGCCCGACAGCACTGCGCGGCCACATGACGTCGTTTGTCAACCTCTGCTTTGTCATGGGCCAGCTGCTCGGCAACGGCGTCACCAACGGCACCTCGTCGCTGGCGACGCACTGGGCGTACTCGCTGCCCTTTGCCATCCAGTGGGTGTGGATCGCCATTCTGCTGCCCGGCCTGGCCTTTGTGCCGGAGAGCCCGTGGTGGCTGGTCCGCCGCAACGACCTGGACGCCGCGCGCGCGTCGCTCGCGCGGCTGTCGGCGCCGCAGGTCGACCTCGACGCGGCCCTCGCGTTCATCGTGCACACGGACCGCCTCGAGCTCGAGCTCGAGCTCGGCAGCACGTACCTCGACTGCTTCAAGCGCGAAAACTGGCGCCAGACCGAGGTGTCCATGGGCGTCTACTGCACGCAGGTCCTCAGCGGCATCTACCTCATCAACTACGGCACCTACTTCTTTGAGCAGGCCGGCCTGCCCGACGCCGAGGCCTTCAACATGGCCGTCGGCTTCCTGGCCGTCGGCTTCGTCGGCACCCTGCTTTCCTGGTACGCCATGGTCCACGTCGGCCGCCGCACCATTTATGTGTACGGCCTCGCCGTCCTCGCCGTCCTCCAGTTCGTCATTGGCATCCTCGACTGCGTCCCCGGCCGGCCCTCCGGCGCCATCTGGGCCGAGTCCGTGCTCATGATCGTCTGGAACGGCATCTACGACCTCACCGTCGGCCCCATCTGCTTCGTGCTGCTGTCCGAGTGCTCCGCCACGCGCGTCCGCTCCAAGACCATCGCCGTCGCCACCATGGCCCAGGGCGTGCTCGGCATCGTCATGACCGTCGCCATCCCCTACATGATCAACCCCGGCGAGGCCAACATGCAGGGCAAGCTCGGCTTCTTCTACGGCGGCCTGGCCACGCTGTGCCTCGTGTGGGCGTGGCTGCGTGTGCCCGAGACCAAGGGCCGCTCCTACGAGGAGCTGGACATTCTGTTTGCGCGCAACGTGCCCGCCCGCCGGTTCAAGACGTACGTCATCGAGCCCGCCAACAGCGAGGTCGAGAAGTAGGTGGGGAGAGAAGACGAGGAAAAGAGGACGTATTCAGTTTTTTATTTAATTTATTATATACTCTTGTCATGCATCATACGTTGGATTACGTCTTCATAAAATATGCCCAATGCACGCAAGCTGTCACAAACGAACCAAAGCATGCAAAAGCCATCGAGTTCCAAAGTACCATCGTCTCCTCCCATCTACAGTCCAACTTACCGGTAAAATTACTGTAGCTCTTCGGCCTGATGAAACTGCAGCTGAACATCTTCTCGCAGATACGAAATGCCGAGCGCTTACACCGAATGCTCAGCCTTTGCGTGCAAGGCTGAGGTGAAGCGGGGAACTACATTGTAACCCACTTTTGAGGCTGCCTATTCTGACAGGTCCCGACACACGGTTTTATACGAGTGTTTTTGCTCTCTCCCAAATCAACAGCAAAACGTGACGCTCCTCCTACCGCCATGTCGTTGTCGAACACCAGTAGCACAGTGTCAGTGTCTCTTAACCGGAAAGAGCAAGAGTATGACCACCCCGCGTCCGTGGACATTGCCATGCGGCAGACAGACTGGCCCGCGCTCTGCCGGCTGGCCGCGAGCCTGCGCGACGACGTTCCCTGTGTGCCACTAGACCACGCCACCAACGGCCTTAATAACATGGCCCGTTTGTTGTGGTTTGACGACGGTGTGTTTTGGGTGGCCCGTGTTGCCCTGCGGCGGTCGAGACAAGGTAGGAATTCGAGCGGACGACGAGCACGTGTGGACTGTATGGACGTCGACTTCACTCTCGATGCTCCTAATCGTCATGACTACTAAAGAATCCGCCTCGGAACTAAACAGAGGCCGCGGTATTTTGTACAACATGTCTTTGTGAATGTCGAGATATGGCACCCTGCACCGTTTCATCGCTCATATGAGATGTTGTTGAGTACGAATCGTTTTACTTTTTGGATAAAGCCGATCAAGGCGACTTACATGCACAGTAGCTAGCCAATGGAAGTGGGCAACGCTATCCGATAAAGATGTGTATCGAGTCGAAAGTAAACTGACTTGGGTATAGTGACATGCACTTATCTATCGATACGATATCTTCGGCTTTACCCGACGACGGTCCTTGGCTATACAATCTCTTACATCCAAAAATGAGGACCGTAGTAATGGGAGCCGTTATGTAACATACAACCGTACAATTCACTTTTTTTCGTACATATGTGCAACTAGCAATATGAGTTCTGGGTCATGATGTATAAGTACAAAAGGACGACGTTGTTGTCAATTTCCAGACAACAAATGAAGCTCCCTTGCACTTGCAGCCAGTATACACTGCTGCTACTTTAGGTGAACTTGAAAATGGACGACAAAAAGACCGCCACCGTCGACACCGAGGCCGTTGTCGATATTCGAAGCGACGATGCCACCCCGGTTGTCTATGTTGATCCCGAAAAAGAAGCATCCGCTCGACGGAAATTCGACACATACCTCGTCCCAGTGTCCCTCATCTTCATCGTCTTGTCCGCTTTGGACCGAAACAATGTAAGCAGAGCCTTGGGGAAAGGAAAGTCTTTCGTAATCACTGACCATCGTCTAGGTGGGAAATGCTGTGATCTTCGGCTTCAAAGAGGACTTGGGCCTCGTGGGCAACCAGTTTAACAACATCCAAACGCTGTCCAGTTTCTGCAGCTTTGCCGGTGAGCTTCCGTGGACGCTGGTGGTCCGGCGCTTTGGTGCGAGGAAAGCGCTCGGCACTGCCTTTCTGCTGTGGAGCATCTGCACGCTTGGCACGGCCTTTATCCACACATACGGGCAAGCCATCGCTGTCCGCATGATTCTGTGCGCCTGCGAAGGCGGGCTGTCGCCTGGTTTTGCCTTTGTGTACTCGACCATCTACCCCCAAGAACAAGCCGGCAAGCGCATCATGACCACCAACCTCGCCCAGTGCATTTCTGGTGCATTTGGTGGCCTTTTCGCGTACAGTATTCAGTCGATGGGCGCGCGACGTGGCCTGGCGGCCTGGCGATGGCTTTTCATTGTTGAATTCTGCGTGACCATGGTCATTGGTGGCATCGGCTGGATATTTATCCCGGACTCGGCCGAAACGGCATGGTATCTCAGTGACGACGAAAAAGAGGCGATGCGCATGAAGAGGAAGCGAGACTACCTTCTCCGAGGCGAGGCAAAGTTCGATTGGACGTGGGCCAAGGAATCGCTCAAGGATCCGTTTGTCTACCTCTTGGGCACGGCGTTCTTCACGTCCTCCGTCGCCATCAACGGCTTTGGCGTCTTCCTGCCGTCGATCATCAACGGACTCGGGTAAGAAACTAAGCCATGTGACTTGTGCTGCGTATTGTACCCCTTACTGACTGATTAGATATACGTCCCTTCAGGCAAACTACATGACCATCCCCGTCTATGTTCTTGGCGCCATCTCTTTATTGACCCAGGTCTACTTTTCCGATAAGCTCAAATCACGAGGCTTCTTTATTATTGGCTGCTGTGTGCCGGTGGCCGTCGGTTACCTGATTTGTGTTGGAACGGCAGCTCCTGGAGCTGGCTACGCGGGAATGTTTATTCTCGTCATCGGTAAGCACAACCAAAGCCACGTCAACCTACTATTGCACAACTAATCCCTCTCCTTGCATAGGTCTCTACCCCATCTCCACCCTCGCTGTCACCTGGGCGACCAATACCTTTTCGCCCGATTCCAAACGGGCCATTTCCATGCCGTTGGTGTATACGATGGCCGACATCTCGTCCATGGTATCCTCGCAGCTGTATCCGAGCACACAAGCGCCTCGATATGTGCAAGGCAATGCCGTCTCTGCCGGCTTGACGTGTGTGGCTGGGTTCCTCTACACCGCCAGCTGGTATCTGCTCAAGCGCAGAAACATGAAGAAGAAGAAACTCCTATCGGAAGGAAGCACGTCAAATGGCATGAAGGGAGACAGGAGTCTCGATTCCATGTACATTCTTTAAGCATAGGCAGTGGCACGTGGGTTCATACTGGAAACAACGGGACGGGATTCGTTGCGAAGTTATATACACTTTGTCACAGAAACAAGTGTCTATTTCTCGCAACTATAAATACAAACGCTATGCCAAGCATTTATGAACTCGCGTCGTCAAACAAACGCACACACAGCACAGCTGCCGAGGCTGCGATGCCGCCTAAAACGACCATCTGGACTCCTTCTCCAATACTCTTCCACAGGCGCCGCGTGGACCCTGTGGCCATCGCCTTCGCCGTCTCTGCGGCCCTGTCCCGCGCGACGTCCTGGACGAAGCCAAACAGAAAGAGGGCAACGATGCAAACACCAATGCTCCACCGCAGGCCGTCGCCGACTTGCCTGACAAAAAAGTAAGGCCCCAGCGGAATCAAGCCGCCCACCAGGTAGCCAAGGGCCACGGACAGCCCAGAGGCAACGGGCCAGACGTAGTCGTAGTCGTAGTCGTCGTCGTCATCGTCACCGTCGTCTGCATGTCCATCGCCCTTCTTGACCAAGATGGCTTCGGCCGACTCCGGATGCTCCACGACGTGGGCCAGCACCATGTCGCGCAGATGGGCCGGCAGACCGAGCGGTGCAATGTAGCGAGTGGCCACTGTGGCCATGTCGGCGTCGGTGTCGGTGTCGTCGGCTTCGCCCTGCTTCTCGCTCGCACGTGGCGTCGATGCCTGCCGTGCCGACAGGTACCCGCCGATGCCCATGCTGATGCATCCCGCCGTGAGCTCCGCCATGCCGGCATAAATCACCGTGTCTGTCTGGCCCAGTGACGAGAGGCCAGCCGTCATGGCAAAGGGCACCGTCAAGCCATCGGAGAACCCGAGCGTAAAGTCGGCCCGGAACCGGCGGGCCGTTGGCAGATACCAACGGGGCGCGTGCCTCTGCACTTTTGTGCCGACATAGTTGCCGTCGCGGCGGCCGACGGTGCTGTCAGCGCTGTCAGCACTATGAATGACTCTGTGGCGCGCGTCACGCGGCTGGGGCTGAGACTCCGCAGGTGCGGCCGGCGAGATGGACGACGTCCAGGCGAGCGGAGACAGAGAAGCAGGCTGCTGCTGCTGTTGATACATGTTGGCTGCTTGGAGGTATCCGTCAACGGGTGTGGAGAGGCAAGGATAGAATCACTAGAATGCCCGACATGCGAAGCGAGCGGGTATGGTATGAACGACCGACAACGGCCCTGGCTTTCTTCTAACAGGGAGGAGTCTTTGCATTTTACATCGTTGCTTTTTTTTCCTTTTTGGGAGTGGTGAAGAATCTCACCACGTGCAAGGCACTTGCATACGCTAAACACCAGTCGACAAAATAGTCGGCATCACGACGGTCACAAAGAGCGCCGTGGTCTCGGAAAGCGGCAAGCGATGCCTGCGGGGTGTGCCAAGGATGATAACGTTGGTGCCGTTGACACCGTTGGCAAGATGGACAGGGTTGGTAAGGCTGGAGGAGGAGCACGTGTAAAAAGAGAGCGCTGTTAGTCGACAGCCCATGCGTCCCGTCCGCGTGGGAGGGATTTATGTTTGCAGCGATCGCCAATTTCGCTTCAATTTCTACTCGCATAAGGCTCGCATTGGGCTAAGAGTGCATGTACGTCGTAAGACATAACGATGGCTGTTGTCGACGTCGGTCATGAAAAGGAGACAAAGTGGGAAAGATGCCTGCCGTGGAGCGTGGTATTCCACGTAAATTACCAGGACCAGGTTTCATTGGGGCGAATCAGAATGCCTGTGTTGTCATCGAACAAGATTTCGCCCACAGTTTGCTCGAGGTGTGCGAAAGTAAATGTCGCTTTCCTGTCGTAACTCTGTTCCATTTAGTCTTGGCGATCATTTCAGTCAACTGCCTTAGACCCAGGGGTTGGAAAAGAGCGTCAAGGACGATGGAATAGCCAAGAACTCTGTAGTTCCAGTTCTCCAGCGACGGCGTCGTCGAAATCGCCCCAACCTGCCTGCCGAGGCTCACTGCTTTTACAACATCACAGGAGGGCGTTCTTGTGGCAGCCAATCGCGAACAAAGAGAACAAGCCACACTGGCCACGAAAAAGCTTAAACGTACTGAAAAAGGACTGCCGGAGAGACGTGCACCCTTAAGAATGCGGCAGTCCAATACGAATGCACCGGGACCGGGCCGGGAATCTTGGGTTGCTTGGGAGGTGTTCTGTGCGCCATGTAAGCCAAGAGTCCCGAGGCATCTGATTCGCCTGGACCTGATTCTTCTGAAGAAGAGGTGTGTCTGCCCCTGGCGCTAACGCGAGAGGGCCACCAACTCGTCCAGTCCACTCGTCCATCGCATCGATTTCCAAAACGACCCTGGAAAGGACCGTGCAAAGAGATGGGTTCTTGTTTCTTTCAGAGCATCCACTTCTCCAGACGAGATAGAATACAAAATGCCCTCGGTCCTTTTCTGATCAACGGCCCACCTCTGGACAACTTTAAAATGCATCGTACTTCATACTGCATCCTGCGTATTTCAGTTTTCCCTTCATCCGGGTTCCGCCCCTTTGCCGGTTAATCCGTCTACCTGTCGACCCACCATCCACACTTTGATTATGACGTGCGTGGGATAACGTCGCACTAGCCAGGCTGAACACCGCAACGCCCTACACCCCGATGGCCCTGGCCCTGCCGCTCAATGCCTTTTTCGGCAGTCGGTGAGGCGACGGGGAAAGTTTAAAGTCGGCAAAAGGCACAGGCAGCAAAGACAGCAAAGAAACGATCACGCAGGAGAGCAGAGCGCAGCAAAAGGCGATCCAAGGGCAGCATCGCCAAGTCTGCCACTAAGATAATTCCATATCGGATCGGCATATGGGGTGGCACGTTGTAAATACCTCGACGGTCGTTGGAGAGAACTTGTTGCTTATCTGCCTCCCACGTGGGCACTCTTCCCTGCTCCTACGACTCGCAAATTACTTCTCACGCCCGTCTGCAGCCAACATTCCGTGCTATTGCATGTTGTACGACCTCCGTTTTACGGAACGCTCACGGGACATGCACAGACGAGCGCCCTTCCAGAAAGTAGGAGCCCGTCCAGATGGTGAAGATCAGACGTTGAATGTATATATGTGACGGCCCGGAGCCTCGCTCGCAGGTGGGAGTCTGCGATCGCCACTCGAGCAACCACGCCCATCCACAGACTCTCGCAACCGCCGTTTGCACATCAAGATGCTGACCAACTCTCTCACGGGCCTGCTGGCCCTCGCGGCCGTGGCGGCTGCCAAACACCCGACGCCTTGCAAGCCGAACGGCTCGGAGGCTGTCAAGAACATGAAGGAGCACATCAAGGCCGTGGTGCTGCTGGTGCTCGAGAACCGCTCGTTCGACAACATCCTGGGCGGCCAGACGCTGCCCGGCCTCGACAACCCGTACCACAACGGCCCCTTCTGCAACCCGCTCAACCTGACCAACCCGGCGCTGGGCCAGGCCTGCACTACGGCCCGCGACTACGACTCCATTGCTGACGACCCGGACCACGCCGTCTACGGCAACAACATTGAGTTCTACGGCACCTTCAACCCCAGCAACGACGACATTGCGTCGGGCAAGCTGGTCCCCAAGCAGAACGGCTTTGTGCACGAGCAGCTGCGCCTGTACGACGCCAAGGTCAACAGCACCACGCTGTCGGAGCAGGTCATGAACTACTACACCGAGGCGCAGGTCCCGACGCTCACGGCCCTGGTGCAGAACTTTGTCACCTTTAACTACTGGCACTCGGCCATTCCCGGTGTACGTCTTCTTCTCCCCCTCCCCCCGGCACTCTTCTTGTCGACCTGACGGTGCCCACTAACGGAATGCATGGCAGCCCACCGACCCCAACCGCCTGGCCCTCGTGGCGGGCAGCTCCTTTGGCCACGGCAAGAACGATGCGCAGTTCAAGGCCAAGGGCTTCAACGAGCGGTCCATCTTCCAGTCGCTGACCGAGAACGGCTACGACTGGCGCAACTACCACGACCCGGCGGGCGGCACCGGCCCCGAGGCCTCGTGGTTCCAGTGGACCTACGACGCCGGCCTCGACAAGAACGTCGTCAACCTCGACCGCTTCTACGTCGACGCCGCCGCCGGCAACCTCACCAGCTTTAGCATCCTCAACCCGTCCTGCTGCGGCGTCGACACCACCTCCATGCACCCCACGGGCCTCGTGTCGCTGGGCGAGGGCCTCATCAAGGACGTCTACGACGCCCTCCGCGCCGGCCCCCAGTGGGAGGAGACCCTCTTCATCATCACCTACGACGAGACCGGCGGCTTCCACGACCACGTCGCGCCGTCCCTCGCCCCCAAGCCCGACAACCTCAGCTACACCGCCACCACGCCCTCCGGCCAGGACTACACCTTTGACTTTGACCGCCTCGGCGGCCGCATGCCCACCTTTTTGATCTCGCCCTGGGTCAAGAAGGCCCACGTCGAGGGCCTCGGCAAGAACGCCGCCGGCGAGACCGTCTCGTACTCGGCCACCTCCATCCTGCGCACCCTCGGCTACCTCTTTGACTTTGAGCCCTACAACCCCCGCGTCGAGTGGTCGCCGTCCTTTGAGGGCCTCATCACCAAGAAGGCGCGCACCACCATTGAGGAGCTCCCCGAGGGCAACCCCTTCCGCGTCAAGGCCAAGCGCTTCCGCAAGTAAAGTGCTGTTGGAATGACGCGGGTGTACATCCCCGGCATATGTGTGTATGCGTAGAGGTGTACATAAAATGGTTACATGGATATCTTCTCTTTCTTTTCTCTGTTAGGAGACGGCCGTCACAACGTCCTCTTTCATATCTACGTAGATTAATGACATTACTATACAATCCCAATGCCGTAAATTCAAGTCTATTAAACGTGTCTTCATACCCAATAACTCTAACTGGACTGTGAATAACAAGTTTGGGATTGCCGAGCAGCCGTCGTGCAGCCAGAACGACTTGCCGTTGTCTCGCTTAGTGCATCCTTGACAGCCTCATACTTTCTAATCACTGCCGTAGCCTCCTTTCTCGTAAGCCCGTCGTTTTCATGACAATTCTCTTTGCCTTTCGCTGTTGATCAAATCCTCTCAAATCTAACAGAAATATGTGTTTTACGCGTCGAATGTCCGTTGTCCTCATTTCTGTCTGTAAAACAAATGCTTTAATATTGCGCACTCTCACGACATGTGCAAGTCACGTGTCGTCGCTCCAGCAATAGCGCGACCCCGCGTAAACACGCGCCAATGTCAGTCCCTTTACCGCGACCAGGTGGCACTGCACTTGAGCCTCAACTCAACCTTTGACAAAACGTTCGCCCGTTCGACTTGGCCACCTCCTACCCACGTCGACAGACATGCAGTCCCTCTGCTCACCCATTCGACAGCGTCCATAAGCCGCCACCGGACAGAAATCCAATGACCAACTCATAACCGCACGCGGCGATTCACGCCTCCTCGTCCAACCTCTCTCTTCCCTCCCCCCCTCGTCTCTCCTCCCCCCCTCCTCCTCTCCTCACCCCTCACAATGACGTCCACCGTCTCCTCCCGGCCCATCCCGGCCCTCTACACCGTCTACATCCTCCGCTCGACCATGCGCCATGCCTCCCTCTACATCGGCTCCACCACCGACCCGCCGCGCCGCCTCAAGCAGCACAACGGCGCCATCAAGGGCGGCGCCGCCCGCACTGCGCGCCCCAGCCTGCGGCCCTGGGAAATGGTCGGCCTCGTGTCTGGCTTCCCCGGCGCCGTCGCCGCGCTCAAGTTCGAGTGGGCCCTGACCAACCCGCACCTGTCGCTGCACATCCCCGCCGAGTCGCGCCTCTCTGTTGCCCGGCAGACGAAGCGCAACGGCCACCCCAAACGCCCGCCGGCGAGCATGCACTCCATTCTAGCAAACCTGCACCTGCTGCTGCGGGTGCCCAGTTTTTCCCGCTGGCCTCTGCGGCTGCACATGTTTGTGCCCGAGGTGCACGCGGCCTGGAGCAAATACAGCAGGTCGCAGACGAGTGCCAGCCAGCCGCTGGGCGACGACGTGCGCGAGGTGGAGGTGTTGACCGATTTCCAGCCAACACCGGATATGCTGTTTGGCAACGCGACCGCCGACAGCGCGACTGATGTCGCTGATGCCGCGGAGATCGGACCACCCTGGGGCATCCATGCCCTGCCGCTCGACTACGGGCCCATGCGCGACTACGTCGACAAGGCCCAGGACATTTTCACCTTTGAGCGCGAGGGCGACTGCGCCGTGTGCCACGGCGCGCTGCCCGCGGGACGGGGACTCTATGCCGTCTGTCCCAACGCAGCGTGCGAGGCCGTCGGGCACCTGCGCTGCTGGAGTGGGCACCTCTTGCAGGAGGAAGCGGACGCGTCAGCAACACCGTCGCAGGCCCTGGGCAATCCCGATCTTGACCGGCACCCCCTCGTCCCTGTCCGCGGCCACTGCCCCGACTGCGGCGGTCCTGTCGTCTGGGGCGACATGATGAAGGAGCTGACGCTGCGGCTGCGGGGTCCCAAGGAGGTTGAGAAGCTGGTCAAGGCGAAGCGGCGACAAGAAAAGGCGGCCGATAAGGCGGCGGCCGCGGCCGACAAGGTTGCCAAAGCAGGACAAGCAGGACAGGCGGTACAAGCCAGAAAAGCGGCAGACGCCGCGGCCCCCGTCACAGACCTGGACGACCTGTCCGGCAGCGTCGAGGCCACGGCCACAGTACGGAAGACAAAGGCAGCCAAGGTGGTCACCACCACCACAGCCACAACCAAAGCCAAGGGCAAGGCAGCCGAAGCGATGGCTGCAACAGCAGCCACCAAGGCTACGAAGATTACGAAGACGACGAGAGTCACAAAAGTGACGGCCGGCACGGCCAAGACATGCAAAGTAGCCAACGTGACAACAGCAAAGACACCGGCAGCGGTGGCGGCCACCGCAGCGCTTGGCCGTGCGGCCCTGCTCGACGGCAGCGAGTCGCCGGAGGTGATTGTCATGTGAGAGACAACGGAAACAGGAAGAACGCTCCCAAAGATACCACACGATCAAGCAGCATAGATACACCTCAATATTATGTATTACGCGTTTATTCATGGCATTCGTGTAGAGCCGCCGCATCACCACCATGGCTTGTGATTAAGCTGATAGATCCTTTCGTGTTGCGTACTTGTTACGCACTTGTTGCCAAACCAATCGGTTCAGCAAAGAAGGACATGTTTTAATTTCAGCATTTTCTTTTTTTTTTTGTCCCAAAAAAAAAAGGATTTTTTGTAATGTCGAAAATTAAGACTTAAAATAATAGCAATAATTGTTGCTTGAGCAAACAGGCTCGTAAAACATCTCTGCCTTGATTTACTTTGTATAATATGCTTCTTTACATACTTGTCTTGAGGCCGACCTTGAACTACATCTAGGGGATATGCTGTTATCTGCATTCCCACCAGAACAGCGGACCCATACTGAGTTCTCTAGCGCAGTGTGATTGGACAGGTCAACTAGTCCTGATTTTCGGTTCCTTATTTCTTCACGTGCGGTTCCAACTACGAGGGAGGAAAGTTCGTATGGCGCGAAGTCGTAATAGGGTTGCATCGGGGATGGCAGAGCGGGAGTTGGCGGATACTAAACGACTCAAAGCGTTACGGAGAATTGGGCCACGAGATCCCAACTGACACAACGGCTCTGGAGTATGGGCTCATTAAGGATACGGCAGGGCTCGTTGAACAGGTCGCATGCTGTCTTTGTCCAGTCTTTGTTTAGACCCGCATGTCCCGATGTGAGGGACAAAGAGAAACTGGCAGTGCCATACAGCATGACTGGTGTCTGTGTAAGTACCCTTTGGCAGAGGAGGCACCATCTGAGTACCGTTCTTTTTTTCCTCTTTTCTTTTTCTTTTCTTTTCTTTTTATTTTTGGGCAAATTTAGGCTGTATGGGGCTTCACCTTCCACTCACGAACAGCGTCGAGAACGTCGACGACTTATGATACGTATATACTACCAGTTACAGATAGAAACCCAGCAATCCAGAAACCTTCCGAGCCGGAGATATGGAATACTGGCGTTCTTGCGTTTCTTTGTCCACAAATTCCATCTTTAGTCTTGACCCCCACCGCCAGTCTCGACAGCAGTTTCTGGCTGCAGGACGAACGGTGCAAAAACTGGGCATCAGACTCCACTTTGCTGCCTCTGAACCCACAAAAGTTACTGCGACCACTTTACGACATTCTTAAAGGTTGCGGTCCAAAATCAGTAGTGCCGCCGAGCCACAAGTCGTAGTCGAGATAGCGATTGTGAACGAGAGTTTCCCGCGCACCCCACGGAAAAGCTACTCAAAGACGAACAAAGTACTTGTATTCGGGAAACACCGCCGCCTTGCTGTCAGGCACATCGGGGGACAAGAAAAGGGGAGAAACATGCATCGGCCGTTGGAACCGAGAAGATGTTGGTTGTTCGTTCCCAGTGTCGCATGCACACGCGGCGTGCGGCACACGAAGCACGACGCAGGTAGCGCCACAGCAAACTTTCCCGCTTCGACTCCCATTCTGTGTCTCCTTGTCGGACGCGATATATTAGCTTTTACTAGATGTACAACCCGCCATTTGACAAAAAGTAAAGAGCATCACCGTTCGTACAGCCTTGTGGGTGATATTGTTTTTTTGGGAGGTTGGGCGCCGGGACAACATTGGAAACTGTCGCTGCCACGTAAGGCCCGTTCTGCACATTGCGGTCGGGGCCCTTTCCAACGGAAAAGAGGGCACATGGCTCACGGACTCTTTCTCGGTGACGTCCTCCGTCCCTCCCACACCTCCCAGACGTACTCGTGTCATGCGCAATGCCAATGCACGGAGCATACGACATCAATCGTGGACTTGCATGTCCTTGCCGGCGGAGAAGGGCGCCCTGTGTCAGTTTCCGTGCCTCTCAAAGGGCAGGCACATTCGAACGCACTCGGATATTCAAACCATGCACAGCTGTTCCTGGCCAACCGGGAAATAGTCCTGTTTGTGTCGTTTGCCTACGTACTTTCAGATGTTTATTCAAAGCCAGCGCCGCAGGGACGTTGGTGGGCCATGTTCCACTTTTTAATCTACGCCGCAGACTTTAGGTGGTTGGTATATTGTAGGGAGTGGTACATTTTAATACTGGCATATCCTGTGTTATATAAAGTACTAGGTACTTTGACTCTTGTGTACTGTTACATAGCGGTCCAGCGCCCATTTCCCATTTGCGCTGCGCATAGCCCAGATATCACACTTCTGGTGTCGTTTCCACTGGGCACCGGGGTTGTTCTTTCCTGTTCCAGCATTGGTTCTGGCGACAGCCTCTTTCCCAATCCCCACGCCATTGGCTACCCACAAAGGTCGTCGCCATACTTTTCTCTTTCTGCTCTCTTTTCTGGTCGCAAATGGAGGCTACTCCGTATCTTACGCCGAATGCCCACACTTCACACACCCTTTAACCTCACCGGGCTGTGTACATGAATTCTTCCCAGCGCATCCGGCACTGGTTCTTTCTTGATGTTCGTAGCTCTTTCCCTAGTTGTTGGTCTCGGCCTTGCGTTCCTTCCCCCTGGAACTCGACAGCCCTTGAATTCGTCCAGCGGTTTGTTTTGGCCCGTCGCTCCTTCCATCGCATCGTGTTATGTCTGCGCACCTGCCTCATTGTAATTTACGGCGCTCCCTTTCCAAGCCCCGGTCCAATAATATCCCTTGGTCTACCGTATACATCTTTTGACTGCACCGGAAACAAACCTCATTTCTTGTTCTCTTCTCTTCCCTCACTACTTCTTTCACCCTCGTATCGATTGTGTGCCAGTCACGACCTCCACGCCCCACGACCACAATTCGCATTGATATTTACCGCTCCTCAGGAACTGTGCCGCCAGAGTTTCCAAAACTCTGTTGTACAGCCGAGCCACACCTTTCGTCTCTCCAAGTTTCGACGTCTTTTCCTCAGTTTCCCAATCTCTTGGCCTCGTTCAGGCTACGATTCCCCAGAGCCCTCTCTTTTCCCCTTCTGGTCAACTCTTGTCTGCTCCGTCGATGGACTAGTCCCGGTTTTCGCACCCTTTAAATTCTTTAGTCTCGTCTAGTACAGAAGCCAACGCAGCCCGCCCATCAAACTCTCATAATCCCACAGTCCCCCCAAGTTGGCCTAGCCTGCCCTCGTACTTGGCTCTTCTTCGGCATCTATCTTCGCCTTTTTCGCTCGTCTGACTCGCCAGCCTTTTTTCTTCTTACCATACGGCCTTTCAACTCCGTCACGACGACGAAGTGGCAGAACCACCTTCGAGCAAACCGACCACACTTCGACCAATACGTCCTTTCTACTCTCATTACTCTTTCCAATTCGTCTCGCACCATCTTCTCGAAACACCCTTCTTCCAAAACCGACCTTCCGCCTCCAATGCATATCCGGATAGACACAACCCACGGATGACGGCCGTTTCGGCACCCTATTTCTTTTCCCCTCGTTTCGTTTTGCGGGAGAGTTGCTTGCCTCGACGACTCGCTCTCGACGGCACACCATTTGTGACAGCATAGACTCGATACTCGATTAGCACGCGAACGATTAATAGACGACGACAACGATTCGTCCACCTGAGCTCGATTACGACATCCGGCCCATACGGCCCTCCCTCCTTCCTTCCCATTCGACACGTACATACACATACTCCCACACATTGCGCCCACGATGATGGCCATTGTTCCTGCTCTGCCAGGAGGCTCTGGCGGAGCGAATGGCGGCGGCAAAGACGGCGGACGGAGCAATGGCAAGGACGGCGGCAGCAACGGTGCCTCGGGCGGCAGTGGCAAGTCAGGCAACAAGATTTTGCTCAAAAGCTCGTCAAGAACGGCTGCAGCAGCCTCCAATGCCCCAAGCACCACAACCAGCTCGCGCGCGTCACCTGCCGCCCTCGCGCCGGCACCCCAGACAAACAATTCAACGTCGATGCCAACACGAACAAGGATGGGTGGCCAGTCGAATGCCGGCGGCGGCAGCGGTAATGGCCCCCTGCCACCACTCAGCGCCATGCGGAGCGCGCCGCTGGACCTGAACTCGGTCGAGCGTCGCGGCCAGCCTACAGCGAGTAAGGAGACTGGGAAGCGCAAGGACCGCCCGCACAACCTGGAGGAGGCGCCGACTTACTGTCCCACCGAGGAGGAGTGGAAGGATCCCATGGCCTACATGCGCAAGATCGCGCCTGAGGCGAGCGAATACGGCATATGCAAGATCATTCCCCCCGACTCGTGGAACCCGCCTTTTGCCATTGACACACAGGTGAGCCGCACCATCACAATTGCACGATCCTTGGGGAGTCCGACGCCAGACGCCAAATGAATCATCTTCTCTAACAATTGCTGTCTTCCACACAGAAATTCCACTTCCAAACAAGAAAGCAGGAATTAAATTCCGTCGAAGGCAGTACGTACTTCTTCTCCTACCTGTTTTGTCGTTTTTCGACCCGTCTTTCTAACCAGGCATTGTTCACAGGCACTCGCGTCAACCTTGGCTATCTCGAAGGCCTATTCAAATACCACAAGAACATGGGTAATACCCTGACTCGGTTACCATACGTCGACAAGAAGCCACTTGACCTCTATCAACTGAAAAAGGCCGTCGATTCACGGGGCGGCTTCGACATGGTGTGCAGGCTGAAAAAATGGGCGGAGATTGGCCGTGACCTGGGCTACAGCGGCAAGATCATGTCGTCTCTGTCGACCTCTCTCAAGAACTCCTACCAGAAATGGCTCTGCCCCTACGAAGACTACCTGCGGTTGGCCAAACCCGGCGTGCACCAGCAGCTCGAGATCGAGAACGGCGGCCCCTTCACACCAAGCCCTGCTGCGAGCCCCATGGTCCGGTCCAATGTCAACACTCCATCCAGCGTACCGGGAGGCTCACCGGCCCGCAACGCTAGTGATGCGCTCCAGGCCTCGGTCTCCGGCAGTGGCCGTAACACGCCTGGCACAGCCAACAATACGCCACCCCCGGCCGACTCG